CAGTTTATGTCAATTAAATAAAATTTTATTAAGAAAAATTGAGAGAAATAATAATGATCTAGCCCTTGCCTTTCTATTTTTGTCTTTCTAACAAGCATTATAGCAAAAATTTGATCATGTAAAATAAAATTTGTTTAGAAATAAAATACCCACTATAAAATTTGCAAATGATAACATTTTAAAGGTGTACTCTTCAGTGTTTTACAAATATTTCAATGTTTAATCCATTATTGACGTTATAATAATCATATTTAAATTTTTTTTTTTTTAAATAAATAACTTACCTATTTATCAATTAGTATTTCAAAAAAAGACAATTTTGTTGTCTTCAAAATGTAGCCATATACAAATTGTATAATAGGTTTATCTCTAAAACCTATATAGGTTTACCTACAAAATTTACTAATTTTACATAAACACATTATTTTTATATTAAATGTTAGAAAGACCAATACAGCAAATACCACTGTGACTGTCAAGAGTAAATTTTTAATATTAATATCGTCCTTACTTTTAAAAATTGTTGAGCCTCTTCTTCACTTAATAAACCAAATGATACAAATATATTTTCTAAATCTAAAATGAATAATACAATATTTATATTAAAAGTTATTTCTTAAATGATTTAATATATTTATAATTAATTACTGTGTTTTTTTTAAATCTTCAGACTCCAGGTCAATATGCAACAATAATTTGTATACAAAAAACTTAATAAATTTGTCTCTGCTAGGTCCGGTTTGGAACATTAATAACTTGAGAGTGTCATTATCACTATCAGCTAAATGAATTAAGTCAGGTAGAATGAAACGCTCGCGCACACATTTCCAAAAAGCCTCCATAATGTCAAATTGTATTGTACTACTTATAAACTGAAAATAAAAAAATGAAACGGTTTCAAACATACCTATGCATATCAAATAAGACATTTAAATAAAATAATAAACATATTCATTAATAGTTTGATCCAAACGGTTATGTTTTATGTTTTGTCACATAGATTAAATAATAGTTTTTATATTTAATTAAGTAAGTATTAAATATCATTAAGTTTGTATTTAATTAATATTAATGTGCTTACCAGATACGGATGTTTCACAAAATATGATAACTATAACGTACTCAAAATACCACAGTTAAAGAAACTATAGTAGTAAAAATATATAAAATAATATTTCTTTGCCTACTCAAATTTAAAATATTTTAAAATTTAAAACATACGTTCCGGTATCAATATTTGATAAGAAGGTACAGTGCTTCCCAAATTTGTATACAATGTTGCCTACTAAGCTCCTGAAATTGTTCAACTTGTCTGTTAATTGCCTATCTAACTTTCGAAATTCTACGGCTGTTGTTTAAAAAATAATGTCCATACCAATCTACCAAAGAGTATTTTTATTTAAATATTTTCAATGCTCCTTGTAATTATTGTTTGATATTTTTGCAATTAAATATTTCATATATTATAGTTAATACGAATTTATTTCACCAAATAATTTATTAGACAGAAAAGTACCTGAGTAGTAAAATAAATGAAATAAAATCAACGCAAATGTTTTGCCTATGGTATAAGTATGTAAGTGTGTAGCAGGTATGTAAGTACTGGGTTAATTTTATTAGGCAATTATTATATTTTTAGTCCGACATAACCCTCGGTTATCTATGGTACAGAACCGCGGTCACTGGACATTCACGACGTATTCGATCAGACACTGGGAGTTATCAATACAACATGACTGAAGACATCCGTAATCCACCGGCTCCTGAAGATGAATTGATGAAAAATATTTTATCAAGTATAGACCAGTATCATTTGTACCTATTGCATAAGTTTAACAATTGTGTGTGTAACAGATTGCATTATTCAACTACATATTTTTATTAGGTAAGTATAAACAGCAAATACACGTTTTATTCAACTAATATTTCTAATATATATTTATGCGTTACATAATTCAACTACACATAAGTTAACACTTTTAGCTACAATATTGTGTAGNATGTCCGGGCCAACAATTTACACCATAAAGGCTGTCACATAATTCTCTTTTTTGTGTGGTCGACCAACAATTATGACCGCAAGAATTCACATGTGAAATCATAATAATCACAATACAAAAAAAACAACAATTGTTTAATGCGTAAAATTTCATTATTTATATTCCGAGTTATCCTACCATACAATAATTCTACAATAATATCTACAACAAATAAAGGTCAATAAAAAAAAAAAAACAAGGTGGTACAATTCTTCCTTGACAGAAACCACTTTTGAGACTGTATTAAAAATCTACTTTCACCATAATTTTTATAAAATTTCGGTGAGGGAGGGTTATCCCCCCCCCTTTACACGCGTCTAGGCATACTCGTCCCCAGTATCGGCTCTTTTTTTCCCGGTTTTTCACAATTATCACGAAAACTCCTTGGAAAAATCAAAAAATGCACAAATTGGATAGGAATTTCCTTTCAGAGAGGACGCTTAATACACCGGAGCACGTTTTCTGTACGAGATTTGCTCACGGGCATAAAACCCAAACACACGCAGACACCGTAGCAAAACCAGCTGATACGTCGTTCCGCTCGGACAGGCCCGACGAGAGATGGACAGCCGGGACTGTGGGCCGTAGCCCCGGGGCTCGGGCTTCAACGACACTCGCACTTTTATACTTCAACTTTGAACACCGATTTCGTTACGCCCGTTTTTCAAAGGACGACGCTGTACGTCGGCCAGAACATTCGACATTAGGAAGTACCAGTTTCGCCCTTCGGGTCCCGGCGGTTTCTCTCCGCAGCCCCGCGGTCACGGTGCAAAAGCAATCCGGCCACAGCCCCGGGGCCGGTAACGTTGACGACGGCGGCGGCGGCGGCGGCTTGGTCATACCGGGCACTTGAAAATGTCGCGCTTCGTCCGCCCGAAAATACGGTAGTCCGCGTTACGAAATCGCGAACTGGCCGGAAATGGCGCGCCGCACGCGACACCGTGCCCGTCGCATTATCCGTCGTCGACCGTAACGCGGCGCGCACACTTGACTGGCCGCCGAACGAGACTTGTTTGGCCGTCGTCGCGGACTACCGAAATTCACGCCGGACACACGAGGCGGGCGATAACGGCGATCATGTTACGCGCGTCGGCGTAGTACACGCAACCACCGTGCGACCGCCGAACGGACGTTTGTCCATTTTGGCGATAATAATCGCACGGGTGCCCACACACAACCGCAGTGGTAACAACATCATTTCGCATATAAAATACAATATGGTCCGGTACGTATATATATACCGCGTTCGGTTGACCGGTACTAAACGGCACGGCCGGGTACCTGTCGTTGCGCGTTGAACGTCGGCTGTATCGGTGGTCGACCGTTATACCCAACCACCCGGACCTGACGTTACCGGACCGCCCGGAGACGTTTCCGCGGTACCGCGGGCCGCCACGATTCGCCAATGCAACGACCTTTGATTTTTGCGGTTTTTTTTTTGGTTTTTTTCGCCGTTCAACGGGTAATAATAATAGTAGCACGCGCTGACGCGGATAAATGTTAAAGCGAACCCCGTGATTGATTTCCGACACCCAAACACCGGTGTTGATGCGCGCGAAAATACCGTTTTCGATTTCGTTGTAGCCCGGGCGGTTTATGGCCCCGCGGACCGCAGGTCGGGAACTACCGGCGCGGCATCGCAAATGTTCGCGGCGGCGACGGGGAGAACTCGCGACCGCGTGCTACCAGGACCAAGGTTTCCGGGTCAAGTGTTCCGCGGACACGTGTACGGGCGGCCACGCGCTATTATAAATTATGTATTATTGTCATTGCGTACGGTAGGCGAAAAAAATATAAAAAAAAAAATTATAGTTATGTCATTATGCGCGCGCGTTACGCGGGTCGTACGATATTTCGATCGGATGTGAAAAAAAAAAACATGCGTCGAACGAACGTTCCGGAGTGCCAATAACAACAATAATAATAGGCGACTGATAACAATTCGTTCCTTTCGGCGTGCGTGTGTGTGGAAACTGTATTGGTACTACGCGGCGCAAACCGGTCCCTCCTGTCTACCGGCACTATCGTGTCGGACACTCCCGTGCCGATATTCCGCAGTATAATAATAATATTGTAATCCGATCTCAATGCCACGCGCGTTATTGCGCAACACAGTGAACGTAAATAATAACAGTGTAACGAAAAGAGCGGTTCGAACTCAGGAGCAGGAGCAGGTGCGTGCTCGATCTTATGCGGGAGCCATGCGTGTGCAACACGGCCGCCTAACCGCGATCTCGTGCGGGTTCCCGTTTAAATCCAATAAGCTCGAACCGTAAGCCGGTCCCAAGCCAATCCTAAGCCGATTCCGAGCCTCTGCCGGTGCTACACTTGAGCATGGCCGCCCGGATTGTCCGCCGCTTCATCGATCTATATTTTTGCCCCCCCCCTCTCTTTTCGAAATATTTTTCAACTACATGGGTATGGAATATAATCACTGACGTCACCGTGCGGGTCCGTCCGTTATCGTGCGAGTACAAAGGTCGCGATTTTTCGTTTTACGAATATTATTCGCACGCGCGCTCGCGTTGCCCCGCATACCCACTGACAACTATCGGTTACCGGTGTCGAGACTGAAGACTTTAGCCGTACGAAATATGATCGACGAACGACGACGGCGACCCGGCGCGAAACTGTCGACCCGAGGGTTATAACGTAGACACGCCTCTCCCCCGCCTATCTAGCCTCTACAACCGTTAAATATTATCTATAAACAAAATAATATTTTGTATCGGTCGCACTCATACGCAATCGGCCGTCAAGGACAAAAGATTGTTTTTTTTTTTACATTCGTATACTCGTACGAAATATAATCGTCGGCGACGACGGACCTGCGCAGACGGGAGGCCGTAATTACACGGAAAATAATTGACCGGAATGATAAAAAAATACGGAACGTAATACTGCGGAACGTAAAATAACGGAATTTAGTTGATCAAATCATAATTTTGTGGAACGTAAAAAATCACGGAACCAGAAAAACGAGGAATATGCTATCACGGATAGTAACACCCTGGACACCCTGTATTGTCCAGGAACGTAACATCACGGACTGCAGTTTTGCGGAAAGTAAAATTTTGGAATTTAAAATACCATAAACCAATGACTCTCAACATAGAGTATATCTAATTACAAAATGATCGAATTAACATTTGTTTTTTTTTTTTTTAAAAAAATCTACGAATGATTTATTATCCGCAAAATTAACGTCAATCGGGAACATACAATTTTATCTTCAACAGAAGGCATGAAAGGTCCCACCAAACTTGACCTTTTAATAAATTGAAAATATATTTTTGAGGTTAACTAAGTGTCTGCTTATTTAGTTTGATGAGATCTGAAATTGTACACATAATTAAAAATAATAGTTTTTAATCATATAAATATAAATATAAACAAACCATTTTTTTAATCTAGAAATGTTTTGATTTTTACGCGGTAAATTCACAAGTTTAATTAGGGAGATGGCATGGCGAGAAAGGCTTAACCGAAAAAAAAAATACTTTCAAAGTCAATAATAATAAGGTACATAGTAAACACAGAAGATATTCAACGCCAACGCCAACATCACCGCAATTCTAGACATAACTTCAAACAGCCCGCCTTTAACTAGAAACAGCGATGATTACCCTAGCGGACTATAGCGGCGATTAGCGTTTAATAGCTTAGGTACCAATTATTATTTATCAGTAATATTACGTTCCGGTATTTACGTTCCACACTATAACTTTCCGTCGTATTACGGTCCGGGATTTTACGTTCCACGGTGTACGGTCCATCATTTTACTTTCCGCAAATTTACATTCTGCATACAAGTAAACACAATACAAATACAAGTGAAAAGGTTATTTTTGTAGGAGTTTACATGTAGTCTCTATAAAATCCACCTCTCCCCTATCCATGTTTTTGTACTTATCGCCCGTATATCTACCTAAACATACACATGCACATGCGCGCGCGCACACACACACACACACACACACACACAATTGATTGTTACTCATTATTGATAACGAATAATAATTTTGATCGCAGACATTCGAACGATCGTTCGTCAGTAGTAATTTTTCTATCAAGTACAGACCTGCATACAAGTGTCTTCCAGTTTTCTCTCCGGTCTTACACATTTTTTTTCCTCCGCGGTTTTTCTAAGTGTTAACTTCCGCAGTTTCTTTTTCATAACAAGTATTTACTTGTTATATTAATTCAACGTTTTTATTTTATGTCAAAAATAAATATGTTTGCCTGTACATTCGTCGGTTGCGGAAAAGTATTTACCGCTAAACGTAATACTTGTATGTTGTAACACGCAAAAACGCACGACAGTAAAACATTTCAATGCGCTCTGTGTCCGAAAATGTGAAAATCGCTCTGAACACGTGAAAACCGACCATCATGATGAAGAATCGTCGTGTCCCGTCGACTATTGTCCGGAAGGCCGGACCATCGGAATACCGTTACCGCTGGACCATCGAATGCCTTATCTGCTGCGAAGGTGAAAAAAGCAAAGCCGGAGATAGTGAACGCTACCGGATTTACCGAAATCGAATCGTCTTTCTACCGCATAATCGTATGGCACTGTGTGATACCAAATATCTCGACAATATCTACAACTACAAAATATGTCTACAAACGCTCAAACCCGCACTTATAGACCGCCTGAAATCTATCGTTGTAATCGATCCAATCAAATTCAATCTAAAACTCGTGGCTACGTACCATAAGCCGCAAGTCGATAATTCAGCCGAGAACAGAGCGTTCGAGATTTCAGCCAGGCCATTATTTTCCGATAGCGAAATAGAAAATATTGTGGAAGAAAAATTCGCGAAATTATTAAAAGAAGAAGAATTATACCAAGGACGTGACAGTGGATTCTCGCTACAGACGATAGATGGCCTTTTATTAGGAGTATACAAACTTACATCTACGAACTGATCGACGTGTAATAAATCCCGTTACCTATCTGTATGTGCCCCGTCTTATAATAATCTCCGTGTCGATTCAAAATTATGAACATTTACCTCGTAAATAGCTTAATAATGTAATGATCCGCATAGTTCTTTCTTAACTAGTATACTGTTTGGTCCTTTGCAATTTACAAGATCGGTTATTTTACAATCTTCGGTAATCGTCGGCATATATTCGGAGCAATACACGCACGTGCATTACATATTATTAAAACCATTATATTTCCTCATATTTGAAACCATTTTTATTTAATTATTATGAGATAGGTGCCGTATTTAAACCACTTGAAGATTGTTAAAGTTTATCGGAAAATAGTAAAATGTATTTCCAAGATGCACCGTTTTATTCGGTGTCGATTGTTATTATGTGGACAAAATTGACAGACAGTTTAAAGAATAGCTGTTGCGTTGTGTTCAATAATTTCTTGTAATACGTATATTGGGGCAATTCGAATACAAAAAAAAATGTTACAAATTAAATTATCCGATAATCGAGAACAGAGAGATAAGATCGTCATCATCAAGAGCAGCGCCACTTTAAAAGTTGATCGCATTTACGAACACCGACAAATTTATGTTTATAACCATTAACAACAGCTAATTCTTTATATTTCTCTGACATAATAATTCAGATTTCTGAATTATTAATTTTAGTTTATAAACTCGCACGGAACAAAATTTATAGTAAAATAAAAAATATCGCGTAATCGACGTAATCGTACGGGTAATTGATGAGTCCAGATAAAATGTACATTGTAGAGTGTGGACTATAATTTGTACTGTGGATAAGCTAGAATTTGGTTTACAACCAAAATAATATTTTTAAAATACAATCGGCAACGTCACAAATTAATTTTGTACGGAATCGTGAACCGCCGACCATTTCGTATGTATGCGTATGGTCTATTAAAACAAAAAAATAAAACAAAAAAATTGACAAAATACGATTTGGGTATGCCTTTATTTACCACACATTAAACATGTTTATTAAATTATTAAATTTCAACAAATACGTTTGAATGGTTAAGCGTTACTAAAATATATTCATCGGGAAATAAACGTGAAAATCAATAATGTTATAAATGAATTTGCTAAAACATCAAAACGAAAAATGAATATACATTTATAATTTTTAAAAAAGATAAATATTTCAACTTTTATAGAATTAACGCTGTAAAATAGTAATAAAATGTTTAATGTATGATTATGATGCATACAAAATTCAAAACAATTTCATTTGTTACATTTTTTTAACCCCCCCCCCCCCCCCCCAAAAANTTTTTTTTACCCCCCCCCCCCCCCACTAAAAAAATTCTGGATACGCCACTGTACATTTCTACCGATATTATTCGAATAAGTAATAAGTATGAACTCATCAGGAAAAGATTATTGCGGCTCATACATTCCTCGCATAATATTATTGAATTCGCATTCTAGGTTCAAGGTTTTTCGGACAAACTCGATAGTCGTTTTTACTGATTTTTAAATAAATATTTTATTAAAAAATGTATACACAAAAATAAAATACATAAATGAGTCAATGCGTTGCATGGAGTATTATAATAAGTATATTTTACGACCGGTTTCGAATTAAAAATTCATCGTCGGGTATACCGCAGTCAAAATGTAAAATTTATTAATTAATTTTATTTTTATGCATATATTTATTAACTTAATTTATTTACGAGTATTAACCATTTTAATAATTTTGTTTTTACTTTATTATTTCATTATTGATTTTTATCAATTTTACATTTCAAGTAATAATGACTTGAGTATAAGTATACACGGGTGAAACAACAAGCATTATTTACCTGATGTTTTTTTTCCCGGTTTTTAAAATTTGCTAGAAAAATTCCTGAGAAAATCGAAAAATTACCTCTTTAAAGTACCTCACCAGTGAAATTTCCTTTCAGAAACATTGATATCGTTGGAGTAAAATTTATGGTAGAAAAGTTTTTCACAGGAAAAAAGGAAAGCCGTAATATATTTTAACTAATACCCACATTTCTTAGATTTTATCGGTTTTTTTTTTTTTCGGTTTTTCGCATTAAATGAGAAAATTGAAAAATGACTTCTCTAAAGTTCCTCCCCACACCGATTTTCAGAACAGGTGCTACACTTAGAAATCCGAGCAAATCTTCTGGTAGAAAAGTTGTTAACAGATAAAAAAAAAAAACATCTTTGTAAAACCATCTCCACTCAGAATCTAAAATGACATATTAACGGCATAAAGATTTCATTATATTAAAGTTTTAAGCTCTCCATTTTGTACCAAAAACATTGCTCGAATAGAAAAATAACAAGAGATCTTTTTGTTAAATTTATAATTTAGAAGGTGGCTAAGAAGACGTATTTTTGATTTTTCTTGTAGTTTTTTAAATGAAAAAACTGAAAATACGTAAAAGGGCAAATTTACAAAAATAATTCTGTTATTATTAAATTTTTTTTTTTAATATAATTCAGTTAAAAATATTTATAGAGATTTTAAAGTTTGACTGAAAACTATATTTGCTTTTTCTAGACGTGATAAAATGTTTAAAATATTTGGGCTATTTATAGAAATTTTAATTTTGCGAGTTGTTTACGTCATTAATTTATAAACTTTAAAACTATTATTAACATGTGTTTGAATAGCATCATTTTTTAAATTTCATGGTTTGGATGAACTCTTTAACCCCTATACATTTATCCCATATCTAAAAGTCGATTTACTGTAAAAAAAAAATGCTATGAAAATTCCGAATTTGGGCATACTGTATGAATTTGTATACCATATACAATTTCATATTTGTTACGCATTAAATATTGAAATAAAAAGAAAATGACAATTTCCGAGTTGTAGTTGACGTGACGTACGTAACGGAAGTTTACGAGGACGTGATAACTGGATGAACCGGGGAAAATGTTGTCGAAATAAAAATAGATACGTCCTTAAAATACTGTTGCAATCTATTGAACCTTTGGTGTCTTTGACCGTCCTTCGGGTATCTATGTATACTGTACAGTATACCAGTGCATATTATTATAGAGGAGCAGATATGGGCGATAGATTTCATCTAGAGTATTTTTTATTATTTTATGTCCTTTTCCATACATATTCGTAATCGAAATTTGATTCTGAGCAGAGTGGTGTTAGTTATATTTTTCTTTTGTAGCCAAGAAAACCTAGAATCAACAAAAATAAAACTTAAGTATCATCATTCGTTGTCAGTTTTTAAATTATCTATAAAAAATTAAGAAAATCTAGTAATTGTTTTAAATAAAGTACTATCGGGTGAAAAATCCGCATATTTCAATCCGTTAAAGTTCGATTTATTTACGGTATTATTTTTAATAACCGAAAAAGTATTTCCCAAGAAAATAAAAAAGGACTTACGGATTAAATTGTTGACAATTTTAAAAAAGAGTTTCAAGCAGGGATGAATTGGCATATATTTTCGGCCCGGAAAAATCATTTTGATCAGCTTTCTATGTATATAATACATGTTACGGCTAATGTCAAACAGTGAAAAATCAGCCCCTAATTAGGGGTATTAGAAGCCGGGTTTTTTAAATTTTCACGGAACGTACACACTTTACATTAGTTTGTGTATATTTTGTAAAATTTTAAAACGCCTCACATTATCAGTTCTACTAATTACTGTGATTATATTAGATAAAGAATTTTTTTTTTTTTTTCATATTTTTTTATAAGTTATAAGGTGACAACAGTAACGCCGAAACGGCCAATTGTCCAGAAACGAAAGATAATATTATGTCCAATACAAATTATAAATATGAAAAACTCTGAATTATATGCGTTGTTGAAAAGAAGAATAAATGTGTATTTATAATAACGTATTTCAATAACTTAAAAATAGCATGCTTACAAACATACAAACCTATAAATTGATATACGATGGGCAAAATTTAAGAAAATTAAATAATACTCCCCTGTTACCCCCTACTACCACCTAATAAAAGGGCCGACTTAAATTCTGATAAAAGATTTAGATTAAGTACCTCCAAAAATAGATTTGATTTGTCGCACAAATTTTTGAACTCATATTTAGGAGGTATTAATAAATATATAAGCTAATTTGGAATTCAGACCGCTTTGCAATGGGCCAATAGAGATTAATAATGTCAATTCTAAAATGTATTTAATCCAAAACTTCATTAACTCATAGAATTTTTAATGTAGATGTTTTTATTTGAAAATCAAAAGTAGATAGTGGTTTCACTCGGTGGCGCAACCAGTATTTATCAGTGGAGGAGGGTTTAGGGGTCTACAACGTTTTTTACCTTAGGTAATAGAGGTAAAAAAAACAACGGGAGGGTCAAAACTCACAACACCCAGAGCCCCCGCTCTGTCCATTCCGCCGGTTTCGCCTCCCCTAAAATGTGCGCGACACAAAAGGAACAGTGACGACGCGTCGTCACTTACTACTTAAATGTACCGTGGAAGACGAATTCCCGTAAAAAGTTAATACTCTCCGGAAGATTGCGCGCTATGCCGAACGATCACTGTCTGTACGTGTGTTCACGTCATTTGGAAACCGCGGTTTTTTTTTTTTTTTTTTCCCCATATACGACCCGCCTATACTGTTCGTGCACAACATAGCGGCGACAGCGTTGTTTGCCCAATGCCGCGGCGTGAAGAAAGCGAACATAACAAAAGGGAACTAATGGACGTGGTGCCGCCGAACCGCACGGGCATTACGCGAACGGGCCGGCGGCGGCGGCGGGAGTTTGGCGCGGGCGACCTTCGCGCGGGAGGATATCTGCTCCCCAGCCATTATCGTCATTATTGTTTCGCGCGGTTATAATATCAGCGCGCCCGATTCGTCACACGGTCCAAATTGCGTTATGTCGCGTGCGTTTGATAACAACAACAACAATAACAATAATAATATTATTATTATTACCGTTATTATTTAAATAATTACATTTACGGCCGGCTGTGTACGGTGACCGCGGCGCGCAGCAATAATCCGTGTAATTCCCAATGCCGCCCGCGCGCGCTTAAAAAATCTGTATCGGCCGCGGCATTGGCGGAATTTCGAAACGAGGGCCAATTGGTAAAACCTTTGTCAACATCGAGGAACTTTTTGTTGCTCTGGTGTGGACCCGGCTCAGATGTTTTCTAAATATTTGTTATTTATGTGCAGAATATTGTATTAACGTTCACGCAAGAAATGAATTAAAATAATATTTTAACGTGGCTATAATAAGATTAGGTATGCCGAATAAATTTGTTTATGAAATATCATAAAAAAAAAAAAAAATAAGAATAATAAGGAAATCTGGCAATAAACATTAAAGAAAAAAATTAATGATTTATTCGAATATATGTTTCATATATATAGTATTGTATAGTATTGTTGTTATATATATTTTTGTTTCACGAGTCACCAAGCCGCACCAAGGTAACTCGGGAAAAACGAATTCAATTTTTTATTTTTTGAAAAATCGCAGAATTTTAAAATGTACATATAGATGAAATTCAACTCTTATCAAAACATAAAACACACTTTTTAAACATACTAACGGACAAACGGCAGATACGACGAAATTATAAGTGTTCCATTTTTGCAATTTTATACACGGAATCCTAAAAACGATACTAGGTAGGGATAACACCAATTGCTATATTGCCCGGGCTGTATGTAAGCTTCATAGGCTATGTTAGATAATGAAATGATGATAGACAGTCGAATGATCGGTCGGAGAATTTCGAAAAATACAAAAATATGTGTTCAATAAATAAACAATAGTATTAGTATACTACATATAGGGATGTTAGATCGAAAGAAAAGTACTTTTACTTGATATCGAATCGAAAGAAAGTATTTATTATCTAAAATGTATTTATTAAAAAATAATATTATATCGTACCTTTGTGAATATCGTTATATACAGATGCCATGTGAGTTATTATTTTTATTTTATAAAACGGGTAAATTTTTGTACGCCAATTTTCGAACGCACTCAAGACGTGATATATTTTTGTTTCAAACTAAGTCATAGTATTATAAAATCTTTGTTCTCTACATCCTCTCATCGTTTGTTAAATTTGATCTTTGCATTTTAATAAAAATATCGGTTTGAACATTTTTGACATGAACAACGTGAACAAAATTAACTACCAACAATAAATTGCAAGGTGATATTTACCCACCGATACCTATAATAAAGTATCGATATAATCGATAATCGACGGATAAATACTTACGGGTTTATCATCAAACATATAGAAATAGAATAACAATTATTCTTGAGGTCGCAACTTGGATAGTCGCCGAAAAACCGCGGACGCAACTCGGTTGTTACTTGTCGCGGCGTACATTTTCGTTTTTAGGGACGCAATTTGTATGCAGCCATATACGATATGTACGATATTATAATATCCGATTTATCGAATAACAAAAATCGTCTCGATCGTACCTACGGACAACTGTATAGAATACAAAATCGAATCTGTTTTTAAAATTCGAATTCGCCATTAGTTTATTACCAAGCCTCACACGTTTGCCTGGCTTTTGGATTGTTTGAGACGTGTTTTTTTCCGACTCATCGCATGCAAACATGTAAGAAAAATACATTATTTTTCGCATTATTATTTTGCTTTAAATTGTATAATGATATTAATTGTTAGACGTTAGCCGTGCGCGGACATAACAGTTTGCATTTTGATGGCTACACCTACCTATGTCACGTTCTCGGGTCTTCTTTAAGGAAGTATTTTTAAGGCGTTTATATATTTTTAACGCCATTATGCAATAATTCCTAAAAAAAACGAAAACGTTATATTTTTCTACTATTCCTATTTACATAAAAAAATATACGTACCCAAGGTCACGCGATTAAACATAAGTACATAAATATTACAAGTAATGAATATACTATATGTGTACGCTATGCAAGGGCACATCGCTATACGGCGTCAATATTTCACTGTCGTTTTACATAATACAATATTGACACGGACCACAATACATAACTACTATATGAAATAGAAATCACCACTTATAATATCCTGTATACCTACTTATAACATTTTAAAAATTCGTTTCATTATCAAATTATAATAATATATCCGAGTGTAATAAGTTTAACACGACTCATCGTTGTACCCAATTATCATCAGTTGTGTCGAACAACTATAGTAACTATACTGTCTAGGTATATAGGAAACGTATGTAAGGGTACTTGGTTGTTCTTAAACATATACATAGGTATTTTATTTCAGTGCGTGAGCACAAAGCTCTTTAATCCGTGAGAACCCACGACAGTTATTATTATATACTTATTATGAGAATATACGTGTATTCTTCAAATGGCATACTAGATTTAAACTATACGAATGTCGAAATAGCAAAAAAAATAAAACATTTTAATATTAAAATACTAATTTATGACATACTTTTTGAAACATATCAAGACTAAAAATTATAGAGAAACGTTGAGTTTTAACTGCGATATGTTATTATTCTACATTCCAATAATTAGTTACTAGATAACTATAATAACTTTTGAAATTAGTTATTTTTGTTACAACGCGTAATTTAAAAACACATGCTTTACGATTACTATATACTATAATAAGCATAAATCCGTAAACTCGGTTAGATCAGTAAATTTTAAACAGAATAAAAATAAAGCCGAACATACTTCGCTAGGTAGACCTGAGAGCTTTTCAAGTTGTTTTTACTAAACAAGAAAAAAAAAATCTAGGCTTTGAAATGTTAAGAATTTCAATTTAAATGCAATCAAGTGGAAAATCCATATCATTTAATGTGCAGTGGCACGAAAACTCGGAACATTTTCAACAATCGGAAAAGTGTTTAAAAAACAAAACACATCTCAGTAAAACTAATAGCTTCTTCGTTATTACACCCGTGAATCCGAATTTAAAATAACAAAATAACGAATTTTCATTAAAATAATCAAAATTCATTTCCGTCTACTATAACGTCTTTAACTCGTTTTCTATTAACTAATTTTCGTGTATGGCAATTTTGAATCGGGGACCAATAATTTGTTCTATTTTTCGATCGTCTCCGGTGAGTACTCTTCGACGTATCCTTGTTTACATACCAAACAATAGCCGGCATTAAATATATATTTATTCAAGTATAGGTGTTATACCGTTATAAATAAATAAATGTAAAACACTCGATCAAAAATCGAGTGTAGACTCGAACAAAATAATATCTGTATGCCAAATCAAATAATAATCTAATAATAGTTAAATATTATTAAAATTATAAGGATATCTAAAAAATAATAATATGTTCATCCACACGGTCACGGTAACGCAATTATATCTTATCTTATTACCCTTTATTATCATCTTATTGTAAGAGTATCTAATTATAGTAAACTACATTGATTGAAATAATTATTAGGAAACAACTAAATTATATAAGGGAAATAAAAGGAAATTATAAAACAAAAATAATATGCGCATTAATTTATGAAACAATGTGTTTATTATACTAACCAAAAAATGTTTCTTGTCGTTACATAGTGTAAAAATGAAAAATAATGAAATCGGTAATGCCGCGGCACGCCATAAATATTTAATTAAAATTTTGTTTACGGTTTTTCTTAATTATTTTAAAAACCCTAGGAAAATCAAAAAAAATGATAATTCTAATGAACTAACAAGATAAAATATCCTATTCCACTGTGTCGATTAACCCAACCATACCTTAAATTCATAATATTACGCTTTATAATTAATACGATCACCGAATCCCGATCATTGTTCCTTAAAGTCATCCGCAGCTACCAACAGTCTTGGTTTGAAAAGTTCGCGTGCAAATAAACCGGGGGTAAAAAAATATTTACGAAAAGATTATAAGATAACTATTACTATTATACCGACGAAGAAAACTTAATAATATATTGAAAAAGTTTAAAGGAATGATTACGACATAATTAATATTAATTACTGACTAAGATCTTTATGGCGTACATCAAAGATATAAATGGTTAATCTTAACCTGAAAACCTAAAATATATCTGAATTAAAAAATTTGAATTGATTAATATTTGCAATTTATATAAAAAATTAATTCCACCGCGCAGGGGAGATGCAGCAGTATTATAGTATATTATGTTAAAACACTCACTACCGAATTAATTAAAGCAATAATGTATTTACCTATAAAATTATTATTTTTTTTTTTTATCAACTATTATAGTAACGTAATATAAAAACAAATGGACATACTTCGCACGATAGGTGGGCCACTGTTACAGGTGAGAAATTGAGTATAACGTGTATAACCGAACTACGCTCAGAGTCGTTTTTCATAGACAATGGTTTATCGTTACGTGCAGTTATAAATTAAGTAACTCTATACATCCTATATCGTAACTTTTCACCTATAGCAGTGACACAATCATCAACAGTATTAGCTCTTTCAAAAAAAAAAAAATGTTTTTCTTGAAAAGCTATTGGGGAAAAAGTGTTACAAATTATGAGTGAATTAAGTTTTTTGTTATAGGATATAATGATGTGAAAGTTTAAAAGGATTTTTATAAACCGAAAAAATTATCAGAAAACAAGCTCAGAAATCATTTTTATAATTAAAATCAAATTTAAAAATCCAGCTTCGACGTGTTGTCGGACAACTTGTACTATTATGCTGACAGCCGCATATCTCTGCTTGTCGCCAAAGATTTGGCTGTGCACTTCCTTTTATTACGTATACAGGTATATTATTGCACCTCATGTCATAATAAAATCGACACCCGTTGTTTAAGACCGCAATAAATGCAATATGAAATAATGAAATAATAATGCGGTCCTTATTACTGTAACAATGTAACTCTCTTGTATAATATTCATTTTTGAAATCTTTCTTTTACGCGCATCGTTTTTGCGAGAATATCCACGCGTCTTAGTCTTTGTGTTTTGTTTTTAAACAAAAATGACGTGCCTGTGAAATAATCTCTTCTGGGTACACTTGTCTAATAAAAAAAAACGAAACTCACCGTGACTGAACAACGAGTATATATAATAATATATATGTGTATGTGTGTGTGTGTGTACGTGTATATGTATCCGATTCAGTCATTCATTATTTGTGATACACTGAAATAACAAATCAAATAAATGATATTACGCTGTGATGATTTGGACAACAGCGCATCATATCCTTACTGATTTCTACGAAGTCTTTGTCTTTTTCCCAAAATTAACTCGCTCTATCGAACGTGGACTTAAATACAAACGTACCTATTATAGGTAGAATGGTACTTATATATTTAGTTTTTTAAACGTTTAAATTTAATTTAATGACAATATTATTTTTCCTAAAGTCACTGCAATAAATTACGTATGTATCTATAATGCCTACAAATAGGTTTTATCTAAAACGTTACAGGTATAGTCTACACATATAGGTATAACCTATATGTATACCATCATTGTAATCATCGTTAAATTTCGATTACAGGATTTTTAAATATGATAAATATATTGTAATACATATGCGTGTAAAATTACATACGGATCCTCAAATACTTCTCATAAATAATTACTTCCTTGTAATGATATTATAATATTATGTGTTCTTGAAAAGTATGTCATCTCAAAAAATCATTGCTAACGAAAAACCATATTCTGGCGTGGTGTTCGATTAAACATGTTTTGATATTCACTTTTAAGGTTTTCATCGAAATTGTATACTTTGAACGCTTATAAATAATAATCACTATACATTCACGCACGACTTTTTTTTTTTACCACCAAGTTCAACTTATGAGAAACCTCATGTTAAAGTTTTGAGTATTTTTAATAAGTTGATAATATTTTATTCACTTAAAACTAAATAAAAATGTTTAAAGAGGCGAAAATTTCAAAAGCTTATGAATAGCTCAAAAATTGCCCGAATGTTTTAAAAAATGCACCGCGTCTATTAAAAGGCTAATTATAATTCTTTGAACATTTCAGGTATCTACGATTATTTTTAACCGGATTATAATAACAAAAAAAATAAAAATCAGGAATAACGGAATATTGTGTACATTTTCTCATTTCTCCCGATAAGTTTTTCTTGGTTTTTTATCTATTTTTAATGGCCTTTTCAATTTACCAACCAGACAAAATTTGATTTTAGAAAATATGTTCGACAATCGACGATCGATGTATAATTTCTAGTAGAAAAGCCGTTCACAGACGCCCAAAAAAATATAATTTAAAACACATCATAGTAAAACCAATAAATTCCTGCGCGTGCGTTATTGTGGAGTTAAAAAATTGGCATACAGCAAAAAACACACTGTACGGAACAAAGTCGTCGGACCTCTGTCAGAGAGTTGACATTAGGTTATCGTGGTAACACATTTCGTTAAAAGAAATCAATCGGGGACACGTATTAAAGCGTTATTATTATTGATATTGTATTGTCGTTGTGTATATAATAATATTGTATGCACATTGTATAATACATTACACTCTTCGAATTACGTCAAGAGGTGCGTTGTTCGATAATAATTGGAAAACGACGTCGACTTTTTATAACCGAGCGCTCAGACTTAATTAGGAAGCTCACTCTGCGCCCGTACTAAATTCCCGGTTTCCAAAGGTATTTTAAACAATAAACTATAATTTCATATTGCATAATTATTTTAAAAGGATTTGGTTACCTACCTATAGGTCCTATAGTATATGTTAATGCTACATGAGCTCCATTTCAGTTTCTTAAAGGAGGTGCAAATATTTTATGAAGCGAAAAATTCCCCACCCACAGGTAGCAAGTAAACTATTGTTAAAAAAACTCGTGCAATGTACTGCACAAAATTTCAAAAACAAAAAAAAAATTACCGTTTAAGCCAAAATACTGATTAACACTCGGGTCAGTAATTATGGATACAAATTTCAAGAGGTTATATTAGGTCATATGCTAATGTAAGTAAATTAAATGTACAAATTTGTAAATAATTGACAGGACATTTTTAAAATTCTCAATGTACCGTTTTTTTTTTTTTTTTATATATATTAGCTAATAAGAATAATTTATTATTACGTTTACCAACTCATCTCGTTGCACTCAAAATAAACACAATTGTAAAACCGAATTTTATTACCAATTTTTGTATTGAAAATGATAATATAATATCAATCTCCGTTTTGTTAACCAAATCAACAACCGTATAACTACATTATGTACCAGTAACCGCGGACGGACGGACGAACACCAACGGGGATAACATAAGATAGGGTCCATCAAAACTTATGCTTATAGAAATCTAATGATACACTCACTTGTTTTTTGTTGTCATATATTGTACTGTTCAACCCACTTTGTCGAGTGTATACCTATATTGTATATATACGTATGAATATCTTGTATTATGTATCTTAGCTAACATCAAGAACCATTGTCGAAACCGAACTCGAAAAATAGATTTACAAACCATTATTGTGTATAATATTACTGGCCCAATGTCGTAGATATTATATTGATAACAGTGTAAAAATCAAATAACATTATAATGTCGAAATATAAATACCTATATCTGTGGTTCGGTCGCGTATCGGTGTATGTCTCGAACATGAATAATAGCGCTAACGGTCTGTGGAAACACATTCCTCTCTTTATAATCACTGACTGTTTATAAAATATAAGTATTATATAATACTTATACGAATTAGAACGCTGTAATATTATTATTGTACTTCGGTTAACTTACCTACTCGTACAGTATGTTTACTCGTGTACAGTGCCTATGTAATTCGTTGTTTTATTTCCACTAATCGTGTACTCCGCGACCTATTCGAAAACAAAATGTTTTTTTGTGTTCAAAAACCACGGTAAACCATTTCCTACGCATATAATAGGTACACCCTTTACAACGATGTTACACAGTTTGTAAAAATCCTGTTTAAAATTTAACTCCTCTGATTCTGTGTAAAATTAATACAATATTATTATTTCCCAAAAATTTACTTCTATGCTTGCAGTACATAATATTATGTTATCCTCACTGGATAATAGAGATTGATCGCAGTATACAATACCGTGACATTTGATTGAAGTATGAGATTAAATGGTTATTCTGAAATCTAGATAAAAGGCGTAGAGAAGTCATTTGTCAAGTGCACATATTAGCCGACTCGCAGTCGTGAAGGTTTTAACTGTCCGATCAGCCCTGTAGTAATCTGAGATTACTACTGTTTTACGACGGGTCTCCTAAACGGATCCCCTATGTATTTTTACACTCATTTATATTCGGCTTATATTGTATTACGTAACTATTAAGTTTTACTCTTATTCTATTCTAATCGGTGTTCAGGGTTACAATAATAGATTAATAGGTGATAGTTGTTTTATTTTCGTATATGTTATATTTTATAATTGGTAGTTATTAACTTGTTTCCGGGATCGGTTGTTGTAAGACACAGCCGTCCCCAGCAAAGGCAACATGACTATTAAGGTCTGGTGGAAGAACCACTTTTGGTTTTCGACCGCGCGTTCTCTTCAAGGACGTCTCCAGACCTTGACTATGGGGGGGGGGCGAAATAATTAAATTAAATATTAATGATTAATAAAAAAAAAAGACGGACATACTTTGCAAAATGGATGGACCATTGTTATGGGTGAGAAATTGGGAAGGAAGGATATTGAAAGAAATTTAATATATATCTGAAACTAAGCAAATTTAAGCATTGCTAACAAAAAAGATTCTGAGTGGAGCTCGGTTAATAGTATTGCTCAGGGGCGTATTCGGGTTATTTCCACGGAGGCAGGGCGGCGAACAATTTTTACTTCTGAATACCACTGCTTTGGTCAACAAAAACTTAAAACCTTTATGTCTAATGTCATTTCATATTAGCTTAGAAGACTCCATATGTATTGTACAAATTTAGTAAAACAGTACAATTTAAGTTAAATTATTTTTTTTCACATTAAACAAATATTGATTAAAACAATGATAATATGAATAACAAAAAAAAAAATAATAATAATTAATAAAAGTTAGATAACCAAGTCTAAAATACTTTTATTTTAATAAGCGTTTTATAAATAGTTTGATCAACAATATTTTCTATATTAATGTTTTCATTTCGATGAATATTTAAAAGTGATAAGCCAGTTAGCCTCTGCTCAAAATTTTATTTTTTACTACATAGTACGACTTTAATTGAACCTCTTGTTAAATTCTCAAGCATTTCTGTTTGGTCTAAATATTTCATCCACAGAGTACCTACCGAATAAAAATGACGTACAAAACTCGTAAAATTAAAATGTCTATAATTGCTCAAAAATTTTACCACGTCGAGAAAAGACAAATATAAGTTTTCTGTCTCCATTTTTAGTCTATACGAATATTGTTAACTGAATTACACCAAAAGACAAAATTTAAAATAATAAAAGCAATATTTTCACACATTTCCCATTTTATCCTGGGTGTTCCGGATATTATAAAAATTGCTTGGAAAATCAAAAAATGACCATTCTAACGTACCATCTAGTCAATATGACAATATTCCGATAGACATTTTTGTGATAATATAAAAAAAAAAAAACATTGTAAATCCAATAGGTACATCTTCACTACACTCAGAATATAAAATGAAAACCGTTTTTTTAACTATTAAATCTTTTTTAACCTACAGAACCAGAATTTTCTCATTATCTCGAATATTAATGAGAATTTCAAAATATGACCTCTTAAAAGTACCACCCAGAGAACATTTTATTTTAGTTAAGGTGCTATACTTGATAATTGGAGTAAGGTTTCTGGTAAAAAAAAGTGTTTACATAAAAAAAAAAATAAACATCATTATAAAATCAATACATTCCTTTCTCCACTTAACATCTATAAGATGGACTTACTTCACCCTATGGATGGGCCACAGTTATAATAAATGAGATGTTGGAAAGGTAAGATATAGAAGGAAATTTCATATATATCTGTATGAAACGTGATTAAACATTGCTAACGAAAATCAATCCTGAGCGAAGTTCGATTATACGTGTTTTAAAAGGCACGTTTATAATACACGTATTTACGATTTTTGTCAAAATTTTATATTCATTTTCTAATAAAAAAAAATTGTATTGTACAATTTATTTTTTTTTTTTTTGACCACTTAGTGAGACTTATAAGAAACCACCTGTTAAATTTGCAAGTATTTGAAGCATTCTGTTTGATCAAACAATTTTATTCAAAAACTCGCAAAATTAAAATCTCTATTAATAGTTTAAAAATTACTAAAATGTTTTGAAAAATTTACCACGTCTAGAAAAGCAAGTATAGTTGTTCTGTTCAAACTTAAAGTCTCTACAAATATTTTTAACCCAATCACAATAAATAAAAAAAACAAAATTGAAAATAATACATTTCGTAAATTTTCCTAATTTTCCTACGTTTTTTTCCATTTTTTATGAAAATCCCTTGGAAAATCAAAAAATGACCTTCTTAATACATCACCTAGATAAAATTTTCTTTTAAAAAAGATACTACACTTGAAAATGGGGGCAACATTTTTGGTAAAAAAGTTTTTTACAGATTAGAAAAAAAAAAATAAACATCATTGTAAAGCCAATACTGCTCCACTTAGAACAATTATAAATTACTGATTAAAAAAATGTATTTTTTGTGTTGAATTTTTCTCACTCTACTTACCTATAAATACGGCTAGTCAGAAAGATCTATGAATTTTTTGAAAATAATCAAGTAAAAGGTTACCATAGTCCAACTTTAATCGAAGATCACCTTGATTAAGCAATTTTGTACATTAAACGCGACATAGTAGAAAAAATAAATTTAGAAATTGTTATCGATACATTTTTTGAAAAAAAATCTAGAGAAAGTTAAAAAAATCAGTAGTATTTTAATATTTTTGATTTTTGTTAGTTAAATGTAAATATAAAATGTTTTTTTGAATTATTTAAAATATTCTAATCAATAAAATTTATAAGCGGATTAAAATAACACTATGCATTTTTAATGTAGTTATATTATAATAAGTAATAATTTTAAAAATGTTACTAAATAACATAATATTTTTAAATAAAAACTATTTTTTGTTCACTCATAACTTTCTATCCAATTTTCCAATTCAACGGTCCCAACATAAACAAATATTTCGGATGGGACTATCTTTGGGTCTATGATAATTTGTCCAAGGTTGTCCACAGAAAAAAAAAATATAAATATAAATATCATTTTAAATCATTCCTCGCTCCTCTCTGAACCTAAAACTCACAAAATAAGTTTAAAATCTAAAATAAACCAAAAAAAAGCAAAACTATTTGCTGAGTATATATTATTTTTTATCCTATGCCTGAAGTAATAATATAATAATTATTTTTCGAACAGTCTATTTGACTATCTACTATTTGTTTTAACGTAATATTTTTTTGATATTTCGATATTCTTTGCGAACAAAAAACAACATCGATCGAGAAGTACGTTAAACGAAGACACAAAACACCTCATTAAAAAAATGCCCAACATGATTCTATAATTATTGAGAACATATTATGTTTTAGTGGATTTCACCAAAACTTTGTCCATTATCCGTAGTCGTCCGTCAGTACCGTAGCCACAAAAAAATTTCAAGGGAAGGGAAGGCGGAGCATTAATAATTTTTATATTTGCTATTATATTTTAGAACGATAAAATGCACTGAAATAATGAATAAACCAAAAAAAGTCCAAGAAGGAAACACCGGAGATATCTACCCCACACTTTAAATGAGTCACTTTTTTAGAAATACAAAAGCCAGTATTGTACAAGTTTCTTTTTTAAGCAATAGTAAAACTTTGAAAAGAAAAATCAATTCTGACGAGTACAACTCAAAAATGTTCTAGTTCTACATATTCTAAGCATTTTTTTTCCGATAAAAATTATAATTATTTTTAACAATGTTAAACATCAATGTATTTTCTACGTGTTCGATAGTTAACTAATAATACTTATATTATAAGTTTTTCTTAACCGATTTGCATGTTTTGTTTTTCAAACGTAAATATTTGATATCAGCCGTAAATTTCGAAAATGCCAAAAAACGATAAAGCGCATGAATATCTATAGTTTTTATTTACAGTAAAATCATATTTCAACACTTTTAATTGAAATTCCCACCGAAGCTCATTTTAAAACGCTGCACAAAACTTTACTGAGTCGAAATGTGTTTTTCGAACATACATAACCCTTTCAATGCCAGAAGTTTTTCACTCCATCACTTGTTCTTACCACACATATTTGAATTGTTTTTATTTTTCATTTTTTTTCTTACTTTTAATATCTCGAGGGAAGTATCAAAATATAAGTATCAAGCATACAAAGTTCAACAAATTCTAGAGTAATTGTAAAAAAAAAATCAATAAATCAATTTTAAAAGAAATTTCGAGAAAACAGATTCTACCGCCCCCTGGTGGCACGCGTCAATATCGCGGGGAACGCAGCGAGTTCCCACCGCGAAAACTAGCGCCCGCTTCCCTCTACACGTATCGGAAAAAACCCCGCCAGAAGACTGACGAACAGCACGCTGTACAGGGAACCTCAAGAGTCGGTCCGCGTGCACGTGGCCAGTACCGAACGCGTCTCAGTCAGTCGACATGTCTGGCGGTGTACACTCGTCGTCGTAGAACCCAGTGCCGTACGTGTTCAATCGCGCGCATATAAGTTGCCAGTATAAGTCGGCCAACTATTTGGCGCCCACGCTCACGTACGATGAATAATTCACTGTGCTACAGTTATTTGCTGTTGTTCGCGTTAGCGCTGCAATCGTCGCTGTCCGTTTCGACTGGAGCCGTTACCGGTGCACCGGGCGGCGACGACGCACCGGACTCATCGCGAACGCTGCAGCAGGCGATCAACACTGCAGCAGAGTCGGTACAACTAAAAAACATTGTTGCGTTAAACAGTACCGTGTCCGAAACCCTTCAGAACAACAACAACTCCACGTCCGCGGAGTCCATCGTCAATTCGTCACTTCGGGAACCCACGGTCACCGCCGGTGCTACGACCGCGGACGTCGAGACCTCCAACGAGAGCCGGCCGTCGTCCGAATCGGGCGAACGCGATGACCGCGCCAGTGACGGTGTCGACGGCGAAGGAGGCGTTGGCGAAGAAGAAGACGACGACGCTGGACTTGCGGCGGACGTGGGTCGGGTGGCCGACCTGTACGAAGATTTAGAAGACTCGGTAGTGTTCGAAGACTCCGAGGCTGACGGCCACGGCGGCGGTGCTTCGGGAGCCGCGGGCGGTGGCAGACTCCTGGACGAACATCACATGTTGCCCATCGAGAACGGGATACTGGTACCGGCCGCGGCTACGGACGACGAGTCTTCGGCGCCAGCTGCCCCCCAGGAATACGACACCGCGAGCGCAGAGGACGCGGCCACGGCCGGCACCAATCCCGCGGTCAGGTCCGTCAAGTTTCCCGAGTACGTCCGGTCGTCCAGCTACCGAAGAGGATGGCCCCCCGGTGGCGCGGGCAACGTCACCCGGCCCGAAGAGCTGTTCCGGTTTTGGGACCCTAACGCGTGGACCGCAGCCACGTCCAAGATTTCGGCCCAGTGCGCCGACCACGTGGAACAGTACCAAACGGCACTCAGGAACGGAAAAATGTGGGCCTACAAAAGTATGTCGAGTTAAACATAATATAATATATAGCGGGCCATTTGTTTACGGTGTGTCCGAATGATAAATGTGTATCCTAGTGCTGCCCTATTGATCGGCTATTGGCAATTATTTAATTAATTAGATTTTAAGTCGAGTTAAAAATAAACGAAAAAAAATGTTCAGTTAATAAACTAGCTAAAAAAAAAAAAAAATCAATTCATTCGTGAAGTTAAAAATAAAAATTAACAACATTCAATTACATTTTTTCAAATCATAAATATTCAGCGATACGACGGTTTCTTTTTCAATATTATTTAGTAAATGTTCACTGAAATAAAAAAAAAAATAGCCAGAAACGTAGTTATAATGCGAATCCATTTTCAAGAATATAATCCGAATGAATCAGCTAATTAATTATTCTATTTCATTCAAATACGCAATAAGAAATCGATTCGATTACACGTAATGGCAAATACGCGGGTATACGATTTCCGCGTGTTTACGAAAAAACTCGCAGCTCTAATGTCATTGATTAACGGTGGATTAGGTTACGCGCGGGTTGTCTTTTTAAACAGCGTTGGAGTCGGTTTTCGAAATTTGAGAAAATTGTGTAAAATGTAAGACATTTTTTTTTTTATATTTCAATGACCACTTGTTAAGACATTTCCACGCTAATCTACTGCCCGATACCCATTTAAGGGGAAGGGCCGATACGGTCGTTTCTACGCCATGAACGTGTACGCGGTGGCTATACGCCCGACGAAAATTTTGGGATTTACAGTAGTTTGATTTAAAAAATGAAAATACGTTTGAATTCATAAACAAGTTTACTTTGCGTGGGCCGGGGCACTTTTCAATTCTGTCAATTAATTTACGATAGTAAACCGTTTGAAATTCGTATATATTTGTCAATTTCAATGGTAAATAACGAGATCAAATATGTCACCCCAAGTATGAAAAATATTTATAAAATTATAAAGCTTTACGATTTTGAAATCGAACCACGGGAAGTACATCAATTATTGTCGGGCGTATAGGTATTTTTTGCGAAAATTGCATGGTGATTGCGATCCCCTTAAGGTACCGTAGTATACTGTAATGAATTTAAAATATCTTATCATAAAAACGAATGGCGGCTGACGACAATGAATATAATCCGAAACGGGAAAATAACTTTGTTAATGAATAAAACATTTAACGCCGCAAATAGGTTTGAAACGTCCAAAAACGTGTTTTAAAGATAAATGCTATTCGAATCGAACTTTATTTACATAACTATAAATATATTAGTATTATAACAAACTAATTTTTTTTTTTTTTTTTTTTATTTGGTAATACTTTTATTTTTCACTGTTCTGATTACTAGCGTGAACAATAAAGTACGCTGCTTTTGTCCCATATCTATACAGCTAAACTAGAGCAACAAACAGTAAAATATATAAATGGTTTGAATTAAAAAAATAATAATCCGTTTACTATTTAGGTCGCCGTCAGTTATGACCGCGTCCGCGGTACATAATACAATAATATTACTGCAATGGACCAGCCGCTAGAGATCTCATAATACGAAAAAAATACAACAATATATTAGATAATAATCGACAAACGCACGTGGATTCGACGTTCCGAACGTCATCGCAGGACAAACTCGGAGCACGATTTGTAACTTCCGATTTTTAGAGGCCTCGTATATTTTTTTATTTTTTTTTTTTTACTATCGTTATTGAATTATTCGAAAATACTAATTAGTAGAGACCGGATTTATATTATGTTATAATCCACGAAAAGACGTTTTAAAACACCAAAAAAGCCCTGAAAAAAAAAAAAAACACTCAAAAATATTTAAAAAAGTAAAAATGATAGATGGGTTTTAAAGTCCTCCTCTAATGGCTCTAAGTTATTAAATTAAATTTCCTAACTCTACAAAAATTGTTTAGTTTAAATTAAATTTGTGCGTATTATAAAAAAAAAATTACTTTTTATTAATCATTTTTGTCGTGTTAAAAATTGTATTTAGAAATTAAACGCCTTCAATACTTTTGTGTTTTAATATATTTGTCAAGTGATTTTTTTGTTTTTTGAGGCTTTTTAACGTTTTCAAGCGCTTTTTTGTGGATTTTAAGACCCTATAAATTCGGTCTCTAATTGGTCGTACTAGAATTAGGCGTGGTTCGTAATAATAATACAAAAGTAGTTATAGATTGAGAATGTATAGCTTTATGTATAATTCTATATAGTATAGAATTATAGACCGCGGTGTGATTGGACAGAGTGGAGGGAGCGACAGAATCGTTTTATATGGTAAAATGGTGGGATTAAAGGTACAAAGGAAATTCTATAAAACTAAACATACAGCTGTGAGACCGTAAGTAGCAGAAATGAGAACTTTAAGACGGATGCGTGGTGCAACCGAATTATATATGATTAAGAATGAATATTATAAGAGGTCTCGTCTATATATGGGAGTAAAAATGAGGGAGAATATATTGCGATGGTTGTCGGCTTGTTTGGAGAGGAGAAACGACAAGATAATGTGTGAGATAAGTGCGGTGTGGACGGAAGCTATGGAAAAGAGATGATAGGCCTGCAAAGAAAGAATGGTTAGACGTTATTGTAGTATGGGGACATATGAGAGGGCTATGTGTGGAATAGACCAGGAAATTGTCACAGCGAGCTTTAAGGAACAACTACGCGAAAAAAATCCATTCGAAATCTTATCAATATCATTCTTAAATCTTATCAATATTGATAATACTTACGGGTTTTAAATTTCGGGGGAAATGAGAAATGTATTGGCTTTACTATGATGTGTTTACGGCTTTATAACAAGAAATCTCGCTTCAATCAAAAACTTAATCCAAACTTTGTTGTAACATTTTTGATCTGGTCGGTGCACTGAGGAGGTAATTTGTCGATTTCTCGTGTAATTTTCTTAATAAACGGAAAAATCCGGCGATTCGTTGATATCCGGATTACCTTGGCGTACAAATTATACATCCATATATCATCCTCCCTTCCGAATTCCCTGCTACTACCGCAGAGGCGTATCCATCGGCTGTGTCGGTCTTTTTTTTTTTCTCGTTACCCATATCTCTTATTTCGGAATCACCGAAACCTGCGTAACCCGGGCTCGTACGTAATAATTAGGATTCGGATTTGAATGCAAAATCTGATGTTTTTTTTTGATAATAATAATAGAAAAATAATGTTTACATGAAAATGTGTTTCGTTTAATATCGAAGATGATGGAAGTATTTTTTTTTTTTACCTTTTTTTTCTTTGTTTGTCTTTTTTACTCTTAAATGCCTTTTTATGTTTAATTTTCAATTGATCTGATAGTTTTATACTCGATACGAATATTAACGGTACAAATCGATAAGAGCTTGTGGAGGCGGCGTATTGTCGATGATATGTTTAAAATTATTTCCGATGGGTTTTATTATCGGCGATATTTGTCGAGTTTTCTGGTACGGCCAGTTAATTTAACTTTTATAAAAGTAGTTGGACGAATTCAACAAAGTAATGTCAAACAACTAAGGATGGGAAAAGGTCAATAAAATCAATCGGGTATTAATTGGAGAAACAACAAACGATAACGATTCGACGAGTAGGAATCTTAATTTCGAAAACCATTCACGTATGAAATACGCCCCAATAACTTCATGTGGACGCAGAAAGATCGTTTTCTATGTGCGAGCCCAAACCGTCGACGTTTTATTGAAGACTGTAACCGATTATCTAAGTACATATCGGTATTGAATTTTTTTTTTTTTTCAGTACGGTCTGGTTGAGTCGACTGCAATCTATTTGATTTTTTAGTAAATTTTGTAATCGTTTTTTTTTTTTTTTTTTTGTGCCTTTTTTCACATTTGTACGCTTTTTTTATTATTATTATAACGCCTTGAAATCCGAACCCTGGTAATAACATATCGTATCGATATGGTTACACGGTAATACGCAACGCGATTGTGTGTGTGTGTGTGTGTGTGTCGATTCATTCTGCCGTCCGAACGCCGTATTTGTGTGTACACGTGTGCGTGTATGTATATATATATATATGTATGCACGTACAACAACAATAATTATACTTGGGCACCTGCAGCGCCTTCTAGGCGTACGCGCGGAAAATCGAAAAGGCGTTTCGCGCGCACGGTCGCGACCGCGGTCCGCGACAACGGAACGCGCGCAAAATCGATCACGCGCGTGTGACAGCGTCTCGTGTGAAAACACGGCCGCGGTAATTCAATTTTCGCAGCCGCATGTCCCCCTGGCCGGACTCTGGCGGCTGTGAAGAAATCGAAAGTGTGGCTAATTAACAAGGACCCCGTTTCGAATGGCCCGTGTCACCCGCGGTCGGCGGCGCGCGCGCGTTTTCGGTCCGAATCGAACGTGATTCGATATATGCGCGTAACAATAATGATAACGATAATAATATATACGTATGCATGTATACGGGTAACACGTTATATCCGGACGTTTTGTCGGCGGTGTTTGTTTGTTTGTTTTTTTTTTTTTTTTCATGCTGTCGGCCGTCCGAAATAACGCGCGCGCACAACGGACGGCGAACAGGAGTGGAGAGAAAAAAAAAACTCGGAACGCCGATACTCGTATCGATAATATTTTATCGTCCGTCGCGCAACAGCCCGGCCGCGGCAGTCCGGTAGCCCGCGGGCCGGGCCGGGAACCCGTTCGGCCGTGCGCCGTGTTCCGGACGGGATTCCGCCGTGCGACGCGCAGTACCGAGGAAACGCGCCGTCTTTGGCGACCGCGAAAATCGGGGCGCCGCGCGCGTCGTACGGTTGAACGAACTCCCGTCGCGTACGGTAAAAGCAGAATGTACGCGGACGTTCGGACGGCGAGCGATCGCGTGCGCGCGACCTGACCCCGACCCGACTGCCGGCAGTCAAAACCCCCGGAGAGCCCGAAAGCGGCTCGAGAGTTTCGGCGACGGTGCCGTGAGAAAGCCAGCCGAACGGGCGACGGAAAAGGCGTCGAAAATAAATCACTAAATCGCCACTTTGAAGTACCATTTTGGACGGCTTGAGTTTTCAGAAAAGGCGATACATTACTTGTACATCGGAGCTAGTTTACTGGGAAAAAAACTATGTCCACAGACTAGAACAAAGAACGAACGGGAAAAACCGTTTGTTTATACGATTCAAAATTTCGCATAAACAAACGCCCCGGAGTCCGCGAGCGAGTTGTACTCAATTGTCTCGCAAAAGAAATAACTCACGGATACTCACGTATCGTTTGGGTCGGCCCATCACGTGAATTCGAATATGAAATTAATGTTATTTTTATTACCACCTCAAAACCTATCGGACGCAGAAAAAAAAAAAAACCCCGGACATAGGACCCAACATAACCTAACCTAACGCGTTTGCGTGTTTTTTTTTTTTCCGTAAGGAAACGTAACAGTAATAATGATAATTAACGGGTGTATCGTACACTGTATGAGATCGAAAACCCACGTCGGAGTATGCAGACGATTATAATAACAAGCCGTCGCGACCGGCTGATGAAGGAATGTTAATTTATTTATCTCGGTTCGCCTAACTGTCTACGGCACAGAACACCAGACAACCCCGGAATTAAAGTTTAATTCGACGATCGCAGTTCGGTCATCATCGTTATCAACAGTGTACACGACCGGTTTACTCGTATGATAATAACGTATTGTGAATTACTTTAATTTAATGCTCGCGTTATCGCGTGCTTTTCGTCGTTCGAAATACATTTTTTTTTTTTCTCGTGTTTATTATTTCAAATTATAAACCGTCATGATAGGTATAACGTGTCGGAGTAAAATGCGATTCAGTTTTAAATGCACACGCTTGCTCAGGTACTTACGTATCTATGTGTTCAGAGGTTTATCGAACTCTCAACACGGAAAATGTCCGTTTCAGTCGCGGTTCGGAATACAAAAGGGCATGTGTAATTCTTATCGTCAGCGTCGCAGCGATCGGGGTTCCTACTATTTCTTTATTTGAATCAGCTTGGTCTCCACGTCGGAGACACCCGTGTATATTAACATTCCAAAACCGCTTTATATTTTATTTCAAGGTGATATGTATTACGTAATATTGTTTATGTTCATAATAGCGGATTCTAAGCCCCTTAAATTCATTTCCGAGAACGACGCATAGCCGTACTGAATATTCAATTCGTATTTATTCAGCTATTATCGTAGCTGTTTAAGTTGTTGACGTTGCTGTTGATGTCGTTTCGTCGTTGTCTATCGTACAAAATGAGTCTCTCTACTCATGAACGATTATTACTATTTTGCAACAATAGGAGTGGGCAAGCCATCTTACAAAGGATGCAAGTTAAACGAATATCTCCTGCATAATATGATTATGACGTATTCAAGAATAAATCTAAAAATAATACACACATCAATAGCGGTGTGCCGTTATCTGTTTCACGTTTGTTTTTTATTACACGTTTACTATGCAGTTTTGATTCGTTATTTTTATACAGGCTGTTGTTTTAGAAAATCAAAATATGATAACCTTAAAGTACCGCCCAGATAAAATGTTCTTTCAGAAAAAGTACTACATTTGAAAATCGGAACAAGATGTCCGGTAGAAAAGTTTTGTTCACAGATAAAAATTAAATGAAAACAAACATCATTGTAGAACCGATATATTCCTCGTTACGTTCCCAATTTAAATGGACCGTGTTAATGAAGTTTGTCTCGTTTCATTGATACTATTCAAATCCGTATATTACTTATGTATTTTTCATAAGTCTCGAACCTGTAAACGATAATATAACTTTATTATGACTAATCAGCGTGATGTGTAACAAAACTAGTTAATTTCAAACTGTTTTTTTGTTTTGTAAATATTATACAATAATTACGACGCTCGGTAAAAGAAAATCGATGATATAATATCTGTGTTATGTTAATCTTCTATGCAAAACTGGACAATAACTATAGCTTATAGATAGTTAAAAAGCTAAAAGTTAACCTTTAGGCTTTGACTTTGTATTAATTTAAATTGTTTGTTTATTTTGTTTTATATCAATTTAATTGATACCCAATCAATTAATTTTGAAACAAACAGTGTTAATTTCAATTCCTTTTAATTTAGCTCAATGTTAAATTTACAATATCTTAATACAGGTTAATATAAACATTTTTTTTTTTTTACTCGGGCTTCAAAATATTTATAATTTAATATTCCCGGAAAACCCCTCCCTCCCCGGTGTTTCACACACATTGATCAAAATCGCAAACTCTAGATTTAAACATTTTTACACTATGGCGATAACAATTTAAAAAAAAAACAAAAATGTTTAGGTACTTAACTTAAGTTATTAAATTAGTCAAGTTTTCAGATTAACTTTTGACTTAACTTGGTAAATTAATAAACCAATTGATTTTTTAACGTATCATCTTATCAACTTATTTTGCAATTACTTTAAATGACTTAATATTGTCCATTAACTCGTTTTCCGCCTTTGCCCTCTGCTTTTATGAAAGAAACACATTTTACAGAGTAGTAATTTTAAAACTTCACGAACGATTAATTTTCAGAAATTGATTGACTTCAAAATAAAATCGATAAAAAAAAAATTACAGGTCCCAATAGTAATTGTGACTTTTTAAAATAAATGGTTTTACTAGGTATATTTAAAGCGTGATATTTAAAAAAAAAAAAATAAAAAAAAAAAACGTAATCTCACGTTTGTAAAAAAAAAAAAATAAGATATAACGAAATAGGTACCTTATTGAATTTGATTTGTAAGGCCGCGGTGCGTTTATTAGTTTCCGCTCCGCTCCAGTTCGATAATTTTATTTTATTGTGTATCCAAATGTTACGAGTAAATAAAAACAATAAAATCAGCAACCATGAAAAATCGTTTTTGTTTTTTTTTCTATGTACACCTGTACATATTATATATTCTTGATAAAACAAAAAAAAAAAATGTCAAAGTTGCAGTAGGTATTGGTTTTTTATAAAAAAATTTACTTTCTTTTCTTTTCTTATTTTTAAATTAAGTAATACGCATTAGTGGTTCCATTACTGCGGTATACTCTATTGTTTAATTGTAATACAGTAAACAGTGTTTATTATATGTAATAGGTATACGGTAGATGTACAGAGACTCCCTGCTACTGTTTGATTATGTTGTTTCTAGAAAAAGATTTTAAATCAATTATTAACATAAAACAAAATAATGAATATTGAATAATGTAAGCAAATATGTTATATAAAAAAATATACTATTGAGAAACACAACGTAATGGTTTATTACTCAAGTATTATTTACCAACTGTTATAATACTATGACCCAACGATCGGGAATTCAAATAAATAAATTAAGAAAAAAAAAAACAAAAAAACAAAACTTTTGAATCCATCGTGTAACAAACAATTACACGGTGTAATAACTGTATTTTTTACTGCGGGTACTTCTTACAACAAGACAGATTTTTGTGAAGCTAAACAATATGATAACAAAAACAATTAAAGACAATTATTTTTGAAACGGTTATTATATTCAAATGCACAATATGGCGGCTGTAGAATTGTCGTTATTTTACCGCCCCTAGTAATGTATTTACAATAGTAATTATTAACGATATATTATTATTAATGTCTGCTTAATGAATTTAGGAAAACTCCAAAAGTCATAACTAAATACCTAGTGCCTATGCTCCCTGCAGTGACTCGTATTTTACCTACTAACACTTCCCATATTGTTACATTTTATGTATCCCGATACCCGCTATAGAAGTATCAGTGTCAGAATGATTTTTTTTTTTTTTCGCAACGAGATTATCGCTATTTACGAAGACTTTGGCTATTCTAATATATCAATTTATATTTTATAATATAGATTATTGAATCATTTATTGATCTTTTTACAACACTCTCAAAAACATTATCCTTATCCGTATACACCATAAATACAACATTTATAAACTTATAATTTTCAATCCCTCCTCCTCTTTTCGACCAGATCTAAAGGGAATAATATTGTCTAAAATATTTGATACGCATAATACCTTTTTTTAGATTTACACCATTTATGAGTAATTAGAACAGTTTAAAATCAAGAATAAGGAAAGGGTGAAAATTGTTATTAATTGTATTACCAGTGCCTATTTCTCCGGTGTATCCACATCCATGTGTACCAACTATTCATAGTATTATCCACCCATCAACGTGATATTTAGAAAAATATTCATTTTCTCGTTTGAGGCATAACGTATAACAAATATCCTTACTCAAAATCCTCCGAGAAAATCGCCCTGTGCGTTGACGGTATATTTTTAATGCTTGCTAATAAATATTGTTAACATTGCCATTCAAAACGAATCACTGGAGTGACTAACTGTTAATTATTATTAATTCACTTATATATTATTATAGTAATATACTTTTAACACGCGGGTTTAACTTGATGCGTCATTGAGGCCGTGTCCGTACTTAAATAAACAAGCATCTTTATTATGTTATTAATCATATAGAATTACCTACCGACTGTTGAACTTGAAAAAAATTCGGATGCGCATAGGATATTAAATATAATAATAAGTTAGTGTTGTTCTCCGAAGAAAATTCAATATTATTATGCGAGTGTAATAATAACATTATGTGCCCAGTCATTTGGAAACGACCGTATAATAACAATAATGATATGACAAACGTTTTTTTTTTTATTGAGTGCGCATCCGTGTTGTTCACGATATTATAATGAGTAGAGAGCGGATGTTTATGCATTTATCGTATTCGTTTACAACATCCAAATGAATGCGGAGTAAGATAGAAATTTGTTTCAACACTCAAAGAATTCAAATTACAAATTTAATTTTGCGTATTTTGGCATATTTGTTCTAATTTTACTTGCTTGATCATATTTTCATATTCATCATGCTTTTAATGGATATTTGAGGTTTTTCGTAACGTACAACGATTATTTTTCCCAAAACTAGAAAAACCTGCGATAGTACATCGGTCGCGAAAAATCGGTCTTGTGTCAGTATTTCAGTTGTGCAATGTGTTTCACTACGATTCGTTCGTTTCGTTTTCGTCCGAAACGAGTTCCTATGTTGTATAAAGCTTTATACCTGTTTATTTCAAAATGCCGAAAACTTCCAAACCGTTGTGACGACGTATTTTTGTTTATGAATTTAAATTTTTTACTATCGGTGGAATTGTTTTGGGCTGTACATCGTGTAATACTTCAGTAAATGGTGATCGACGTTTTTTAGTGCTTCAGCATATCGATACAAATAAACATATCAAAAATTCCAAAGATAAACCTTTGTCAACAATAATTTTATTGATGCATATTTTAAATAAATTCTAAGCATATTTTTATACTTTGTAGTGCGTATTTTTTATTTATTTATTTTTTTTTTTTGAGCACAAACATTAGCTCTCTAATAATGAGTGTCGAATCTGTCGTTAAGATAATTCATTAAATCGATAGGGAAAAAAGTTTAAGATTAAGAGGTGACGTCATCGCAGTCGCGTTGTTTGCCGTCTGTGCTGTCTAACGCGTAATATTTAGAAAAAATGTGTTTTCGGTTTTCCGAAACGGTACTCTGCACTCTGCAGCAATTACGACAGACTAAAAACGAAAATTATTTCACCGAATAAAAGACAATTCGCTTTGTTTTCACAGAGGGACTTTTCGGTATCCAATTCCCGAACAATCTATTCGTATAGTTGAAAATGTAAACGAATTAAACATTTTTTTTATAAATCTTAATGTATGTTTAAATAACGAAAAACAAAAAAATTCTTTCGAGAAAAAATATTATCGTAAATGTTGTCGTCTAATGTTTTGTTTTTCGTCTTTATTAAACTGCACATTTTCGCTATAATGTCCGTTAGAATGTCAGAAATGACAAATAATGCATATTAAAAAGATCTACGCAAGTAACTAAATATTTGCTGCAGTATTCTGAGTACCTATAAGAAATCGTTTTATTTCAATGTATATAATATATTTGATTTGCTATCTTTATGTGATTTTTTTTTTTTTTTTTTTTTGAACATTTTATGAAAATAAATTCTATGATGACATCAAATCTGCGGTTATCGGTTTCGGTATCCGTTCAAAATAACATTCGTGTATACCTAAAGTAGGATACTGAACAACAAATAGTGATATCAATTCAAACCTAATATCTTTCAAAATAGGTTAATAAAAAGACAGTTTTTAGTAGATTTAAACGCATCAAATCGCGCTAAAAATGATTGCTCGTACAACCACAAAATCTCCGCTTTGGATAAAAAAAATTGATTTAAACAGCCCGTGATTATACGAATAAAAAACTAGGTCGGGTCTACAGTTATGTGTTAATTCGTACACGCATCGCGTTTACGCGCGATCACATGTACTTCTGATAATCGTGTGCATTGTATGCGACGCATCACTAATAATTGTATTTTAAAATTATACACGTAAAACATATTTTGAATACACCTGACAGTATGATTAACAATTTGTACATACCGTATTTGATTACAGTGTCAGACGCCAGCGGTCATTACAGCAGTGGTTATTTCTGGGGCAATACGTATTGGTTGGGTTCGAAAAGTCTCTGTACCGAAATATCGGAACACGATAAAGAAGTGCCGTTCAAATTGGGATTCAATATAATAAAAACATACATCGCGTTGAAAGCGCCAATCAATTATACGGTAAATATTATTGCGTTTTGATTTTTAATTTATTTTATTGAAATTTTAGTAACGCTATTGTCACTATTTACTAATGATATATCTGTTAGAATTTAACGATATTCTCACACGCCCTAAGTATTCAAGGGGTTGCGTATAGGCAATTTAAACGAAAATTTTGAAAAATCGACCTCTATTACATTTTACAAGGGATTCCGTGTTGTTATCCGCATTATAACATTCATTAGAGTTCTTGTTTCTTCATCTTAGTACTTTCCCGCTTCATTAATTACCCATGTGTCGCAACTATATAAAGCAACACTCCACACAAATGTATTTATAAATATCTTTTTTATTGCTCTATTAGAAACCTCTATCAAAATCCTCGTTTGTTTTATGAAAGCTGTCTTACAGCTTGTCCATTTCTCTGTTTTGGAATCATATTACTTCTCATCGTCCGTCTGCTGTCTCGAGAATGAGGCCGAGGTAAAAACCCGAGTATTTAAAACTGATAACTTGCATTAAAAGTCAGTTTCTCAGGTACCCATATGGCTATATGTTTCGTTGATTGTAGGTTCTCGGGCCCAGCCCAGAATTTTTGTTTTTCGTGAATTTACACGCATATAATGTTAATTTATGATCAAGAGATGCTCTTTTTATAATAGTGTGTATTTAATCAAAACTATGTACTTTTATAATCACCGTATACATAATAATAAACGTGTGTACCTATATTTGATTCACGTATCCAGGAAAGGTATCAATATTTAGGTATATGTATGCCTTACTCGTGTACGAAACAAGACGTGGACGAAATGGTCAGTCAATCGCTCCAACAAGACGATGTACCGGAAAGAGACGTCAAAGTCACCAAAGTGAAATCGCCGCACGATTACTATAACGTGTTTAGGGATAGAATTTTCTGGCTTCTCGTGTAAGTGCCCTGGTCACTCTGCGCTCAAAATTGTGCAAAAGAAAAAGTATACATATAAAAGTATGTTTGTGTTTTACAGAATAATATCGGCCGTGACCACAGTATTTTTGATATTGGGAACGAGCTTGGACGTGTACCTGGAAAATAACGGCCGTAACAAAACCAACGGTTTTATGTTTGACAATTATAAATACGCCGTGAGTAGCGCCAAGTTGCAACCACTTTCCGAACATTCAAAAATCGATATGGAATCTGGTAAAATAATTATAAACAATTTAATACTTATACCTAACAATCGGAAATTCAATGAATATAATAAATTAAATTAATGTAAATACTTGTATACAGAAACGTCTAAGAGCTCAGAAACGTTATCAAAGGACCAACCAATGACGTGTAAGTGCTTACATAAATCACCTAGTCTGTTACCTACAAAGGAGTGAATAGTAAATTATAATACTTAAGTGTCGATTTAATAACGTTCTCAGGTACGGTCGCGAACGTTTTGTTAGCGTTTTCGGTGCGAAGAAATTTAAAACAAATATGCGACAAAACTATAGGTGAAGACACGATATCCACGGTACACGGTCTCCGATCGTTGAGCATGGTGTGGATCGTTTTGGGTCACGTGTGCATCGTGTCCTTTAAATACTCCGGTAATTAAATTACTGTGCATCATCGCAATACAATCCGTACTTTTTATTATTTACCCGACTCTACCCTGATCAACATTTTTCCACATTTTTTTTTTAGACAATATGGAATTCCGTAACGTCGCCGAACGTCATTTATTGTTTCAATTGATCAACAAAGCCACGTTTTCGGTAGACACTTTCTTCTTCATCAGGTATATTATCCATAGAAGATTACATAACACCATAGCCCATCTCCATCACCATAATATCATAACATAAATGCAACGATTTTTTTCTCTTCTAAGCGGACTGTTGGTTTCGTTCCTCTACTTCAGGACCACGGCCAAACTGGACGTCAACAAACTGACCAAAACCACCGGTTTCCTGTCCAATTTTATCGAGTTCGTGGGATTACTGATTTACCGGTTCTGCAGGTTTGCGACGCACGGCACGAGATAAAAAATTCGAAATACCCGCCTATTTTAATATTACCTATACTTATTTCCACAGACTTACCGCCCCGTATTTCTTCATTTTGGGCATTGTACAGCTGACCATGACATGGTTCCATTATAATTCCGTATTCGACCCGCCGACCGACGAGCACGTAAACTGCCCGAAATATTGGTGGCGGAATCTATTATACATCAACACGCTGTTTCCGGTTCAAGACATGGTGAGTAAAAAGTAGAATAATTGAGTAAAAACCAAAACTGTCCGGCTCATGTTATCGTTATTATGATATATAGTGTATGCTTTGGAGTTGGTATTTAGCAGACGACACGCAATTCTACATACTAGGAGTCATTTTACTCATATTATCTGCGCGGTAAGTCAAACGATCACTTACATAATTATAAACAAAATTAGTTTTATTTTTAACCGTATAGCTATTAACAGACTTATTGTTGTTTTGACGAAATGTTGTTAAAACGGCTTACAATAGCTACTAGACAATTATCTAGTAATGTTCAGTGATTCCTCACCTTAATCATCAGCATTCATTTTTGATACATAATAATATATTAATATGTAATATAGACACGAACAGCTAACAGGAACATACTACAACGGCATTCAGAAATATTCTGACTGATGACCACTACTAAACATTTTTTTATCGTTTTAAAACTCGGGATATCCCGAGCGCGTCCCGTTTTTAATTGTTACCTTTTTTATAGCCCGAGTGTGTCCATCGATAAATCTGTACCTATTTAACTGGTAAACTGATCGCCGAGGGAACAGCGTTTAATTTCAACTTCGATAGTAAAACTATAAGCAAGAGTCGCGCAGTAATTTAAGCTAGTGCAGAACAAGTGTAGTGCTGCAATTTTTTCCGTACCCTAGTATCGAAACGGTGCCGTGATTGAAATAAAATAACCAAATATTTTTGGGATGTAAGCCAGTTCACCATCTCGCGGTACCCCCTAAGTAACTCTTAATGAACTAGGGCATATTCGGACTACATTGAAATTACGATATATTTTCTTGGGACCCACTCGGTGCATTGAAAAAGAATAATTTCGGTACGCACTCGGGTAACCCTGTTATAATAATCGTAAATTATAATATCAAGGCACGCAATATAATGCACAAATGGTAAAAAATAAAAAAATGTACAATTAACGCAGGTCTCCGCAGTGGCGTCGCTACGCCTCTGTAGGCCCTGGGCGGAAATAATTTGACTCCCGGACAACGATAAATCAAAAACAAAATATTATAATAATAAATAATTACATGTGGTCGTGTTACTGAGTAGTGTTCTCCAATCAACTAATCAAGTCCACTTGTAGGAAAAATATGATAGTTGGAGAGAAAATTCCATCTATCGTGCTTAATGTAAACTTGTTATACAGATTGTACAAATTAATAAATATGATAAAAAAAAAATTTAAATAATTAATATAATGTAATGTATTATGCATATAATATTGTATACGTATATATTCTTACTTACCCGACTGATTGATGTTTCGAGTGAACTGTATATATTATACGATTAGGTATTACGCATTATTTCGCAACACAAACGCAACTGATAAACAATAACGAATATTATCATATAACAGTAGCGGAACGGCGTCTGGCAGTGGGCACACATATGGAGGTGCTAGCGGTTACTTATCACCTCCAGGCTTCAAGTTAGTACCCCGGCCAGTTTCTCTGAATAATGTATTTCAGTATTTCACCAATAATTTGTAAATTATTGTGGTTTATTGGTTTGGATAAAATATTAATTTTTTTCCGTCACAAGTTCAGAAGTTCACAATTAAAACAGTAGGTTGGATTAGGTATTGTGTGAATGCACGTTTCAGTTTTCGTCCAAACAATAAACAGCAATCATACAGGAAATCATACTTTATATTCCAAACGGTTAGCTATGAAATTATGTTCTATTTATAAACGAGATTGTATACAAATTTAAAATTATTATAACGAGACTTATTATAGTAGTAAGGGGGGGGGCTATTCATAAGCTAACATAAGCTATTCTAGCACCTCCTAAATTCACACACAATGTTCACACCAATGTGTTTGGCCCAGAGAAGTTATTCAGCTAAATTTACAAACATATTATCTACAGTTTAAAAATTCATTTTAACGCAATTTTAATATGTAGCGTATAAATAATAATTTATCTCAAAACATATTTACGAAGACTTCTCTAAAAGTTCTGACTTATCCCTGTGTTAAATATAGGCACCGAAACGTTATCTTAACTACCTATATTATAGCGACCTGCCCATCACAATATAGTAACACAGTGTTCCGTAGACAGCAAATTATACATATTTAACGCACAACATGACATTGAAAATTAATTTTCAGTACCCGTATAAAGCTACATAAAGTAAATAAACTAATTGAACCTACACAAAGTACAAAAATGTATGATTGTGGATCTTGAGTTTACGTGTTTTCAATTAAAACTGCAAATGTCTAACTTTGAATACCCGCGTAATGTGTTTTAGGTATTTCAAAGCAGCGGCTGCCACGTTAGTGATCTGTACGGTCGCTTCGTGGTTCACGACCGGATACATAGCGTACACCAACAAACACATGCCGAAGTGAGTGAAGACGGTGACGGTGTTATTAATGCGAAATGTTTTGTTATTAACTATAAAAATGTATGCAATTCGATTAAAATATTATAACACTGTTTGTATTTCTTCCGACAGCATTGACGATCCCTTGGCGTTGTTCGACAAGATCTACGACAAACCGTGGACGAGACTCGGACCGTACTTTGTGGGCATGGCCATCGGATGGTTGTTGTTCAAGACGGAGTGTAAAATAAAAATGAATCCGGTGAGTCGAAAAGCGATCGAACCATAATATTATAATAGAACCGCACGAGGGGAGTATAGAAGGAGCCTGTCGTGACAAAATTTAGGTCAGACGGACAACTCCGTTAAATTTGATCACATCGAAATCTAGATAACAGTTGGGTGTATCGAAAAGAAACAAACAACAAAAATTAATAAAACGAAGGGACGGGAATTCTTGTCGTTCGTTCCTACAGATTTACCGCCTGTAGTACTAAACTAAAGGTACTGGTTTTTTCTTGTAGCTAACGGTGATTGCGGGATGGACCGTATCGTCGGCGGTGCTCGGCACTCTAGTATTCGGTTTCCACCAAGTAAACCTACATCCGGTTGTGGCCGCCGCGTACTCGTCATTGAGCCACACCCTGTGGGCTATGTGTCTGTCGTGGACGGTGATCGCATGCGCCACCGGGCACGGAGGTAAAAAATCAAAAATATTACCAAACCGTTCAGTATCCACATAAATATTGCAATAATTTATTTCGCAGGTTACATGAATAAACTGCTATCGTGTAGATTCCTAATACCGTTCAGTCGCACCACTTATTGCGCTTACCTAGTACATCCGATCATCATCAGGTATGTGGTGATGAAACGCGACACTCCACTTCACCTGACCGTGGAAACAGTGGTACGTACCCGATACCGTTCATGTTATACTTGTGCACTGCCCACTGTCAATAGGTTACCGCTGAATAGATCATGGTGACCGCACACTTTGTAATTCAAAAAGTCGGTCCTATTAAGCAAATGTAAAAATGCCGATACAAAAAAAAAAAGAAAATTAAAAATTTCCGTTCCTATCACGATCTAAGACGGTAGCGTAGCCAGGGGAAGGTTTTAGGTGTTTTAACCGCCCCCTCCTGTTGTTTTTAGCTATAAGTGAGGTTCAAGAAAATTGTAGACACCTAAACCACTCTGCTCATTGGAGATGATACTCCATTGGCTTAAGTCTTATGCAGGATGTCCCACGAAGATATACCCATTGTGATATCTCCGGAAATAAAAAATATTCTGCTTTTTTTTTTTTTTTTTTTTATACTATCCACTGGGATAACGACTACGAATACTTATAATGCAATTTATTTTTTATGTTTTGGTAAAAACAATTACTTTCTATTTTATTATTTTTAAAAACAACAATATGCATACAGATGAGCCTATTGAGTTTTTTTCGGATCTATTGATCTATTCCGTAGTTCCCTATTCGAAAGATAGGTACACACTTATTGACATTGGATACGTATAAATATTAACTATTTTGTTCTTGCGCGATTTTCAGGCAGTTTTGTTTTTGGGACAAATCGTCGTGTCGTACTTTTTCGCGTTCATCCTGTCGATCGCTTTCGAAGCACCAATCGTATCGTTACTGAAACTGGTGTCGCCCACCAAACGAAACGTACACTGATCACACCGCGATTTTCTACTCCGTCGGCCAATAGAGCGCCCCATTACCTATTATTTTTATTATTATTATATTGTTTTTTTTTTTTTTTTTTTTTTTTTTTTTTTTTTTTTATGTACACTTTAGTGCATAATATGTCATATATACCATATATACCTACCGCTCGTTCGGAGACTTACGAAGACTTGGAAGACTTCACGCACGAACGTTATTTATGACACTACGCGAGAGTACCTACTTGTATAACCAATTTATAAACTATACACAGTTTATAAGTGTTATAATATAATTTATATGTTAATTCGTGTTATGGCCGTGTAGCACAGTAGAACGTAATATCGTATCACGCGTCTTAATAACGTTGTTAATTGTTGTTATATATATTGTATTTTATGTTTTATGTTTTTTTTTTTTTTTTTTAATATATATTATATTATGTTTACAAATATTATTACTTGCAATTTCGTACGCGCGTATTTGCTGTTACCTTGCTCGCCGGATGTACAACGACAACCTATAATACATACAGCTGTTGTGTTACGCGCAGTCTCGTTAAATATTGTAATTACTTGTAGGTACTAATTATTGTAAAAAAAAATAGTAATAAAATAACGACCAATCGAGCGAGGCGAATTGAAATGTTATTGTTGACTAATGGTTTTTATCGAAAGATCGAAAGATTTCGAAAATCGAAAAATCACTTCTCTAATGTACCTCCCGAGTGGAATTTCCTTTTAGAAACATTGTCGTCATTAAAAGTTGAAGCAAAATTACTGGTCGAAAAGTTGTGCACGGTAAAAAAAACAAATAATATTTTAGTATTATATTTCGTACATTTTCCCGTTTTTTTTTTTCGGTTTTTTAAATTTAATGAAAAAGCTCTTGATAAAATCGAAAAATTACCTCCTTAAAGGACTTCCCTAAATCAATTTCCTTTCAGAAAAGGTGCTACACTTAGTCTTCTGGTAAAAAAGTTGTTAAAAGATAAAAAAAAAAAATAATAATAAATAAACATGTTTGTAAAACCATAAGGTTCTTCGCTCCACTCAGAATCTAAAAAATGTGCATTCCGAAGGGGTATGGAAAACTTAGAATTAAGATTAACCGAATTATCCGCATAATACCTGCACATGATATTGTATCATTAATTTAACAGACTTATTTATAAACGACAAAAATCTAGGTTTCTACTGGCGCCTCTTCTTTTCATTTTATAATATTAAAAAATCAACGTCAATAATTATTATTATATCGACGAAATCTTTAACACCATTGCCGATTTACGTGAAATATATTAAAATAAACCATATAAATTACGAAATATATTTAGCGATGATCGTCGAGGACGGTTCCAGCGTGTATTTACAGCCCCGATCGTAACTTGCCATAATATTATAACCAATAATTTTTCAATTATTTTCGAAACGAGTTGTTTTTGGACCCCGCGTCGTCAACAACTCTAAACGTAACTGTGCTTTCCATTCTGGTTGGGTAGCACTGTCGGATTTGACATACGCTGGGTGGACCACCCTGCTGTAACTTGTAGGCGAAAAGTTAGCGAGGTATAGGATATAGGGGGAAATTTAATGTTTATCTGTACGCAACGATTAATCTTCGTTAACGAAAAACGATTCGGAGCAAATGTCGGTTTTTCACGATATTGTATTGAAATGCCATAATATTTACGATCGATTTTCGAGTTCAAAGCAACAACAATAATAACAAAAACAACTCATAAAATGGTAAATTTGCTAAAATTTTAATGCTAAATTATGCTAAAGACAACTTTTTACCGAATAAGTATGAACGATCAATTTTGTAACAGCCATCGAATTTAACTCAAAATATCAACATTAATAAAAAAAAATGCTCAGTACTCTATTAAAAGCATTTAAAAATAGGAAACCTACTTGGTTGTCAGAAAAATTATATTGGAATTGTAGCCACAGCAGCCTGTAGCAAAACTACTTCAAAATAGAAAAACAGCCACATTCAATCCTAAGCTCATGGTTTAAAACTTTGTAGTCAAATTTTTAGCTCATTGTAGCAATTTTTTGATGTACTCAGTAAAAATATGTAAATGCATGAACTCCCAGGCCTTAATATTATACACATTTTTATAACACGAACTTCAACTTTAAAATAAATCCCAATAAAGATCGATACATAAATGTACTATCCTATCCTATAACACTTATATTATCTATGACTATGAGCATTGGGTGGGACCAAATAGTTTTGATTATTGAGTATCAACCAATAGTTTAAAAAACAACAGAATAATTTCTTGATTGAATAGATATTTTTATCCATTGATTGATTTTAAAACTATCAAATGAATTACTCGTTTTCAGTTTTTATTTAGTTAGACTTAAACAAATGGATCAAAACAGGAAAAATTGGATATTTTATAGTTCTATCATGGATTTTGATATCCCTGACATCTCTATGGTGAATACATGAGACGAAACTTCTGTTTTAAAATATTTGAACAGATGATAGGGATAATTAACGTTGAGACCCCAAACACATAAAACATATAAAAATGGTAATTTTTTATCTAAAAATTTAAATTCATTTAAAAATCTGTTTAATATTATATTATAATATAATATTACATTTAACTGCAAAATAAAATAATAAATATATTTAATGGGAACTGTGTTGAACGATTTGGCGCCCAAGGGCATCAAATTTTAAGTGGCCACTCTTAATATAGCTTTACATAGGAATTATTAGGGGGATTAATCTCCCATAATTGTTTTTTTAAAATTTCATTAATGTGAATTTAAATTCATATTCAAATTTCAAAATTTTACTTAATAACACACTAGTAATAAGTTAGATTATCACATTTTTAAGACATTCAGCATGCGCACATAAATACTAAATATGCTCATATTAAACATAATTTGTTTTGTCGGTTTTTTATTATTTTGTTTACTATGGAAAATAGTGATGGTTAAATAGTTGCCACTGAAACAGTTCTATCATTGATAAAAAAATAAATGAGGAAAAGTAAGTATTATTAAATACATTTTTAATTATTAAGTGTTAAAAAAGCAATAAAAGATATTTTCAATATATTTTAACTGTTTAAAATAATAGTAAGTCTTTAAATGTATAATATATTTTAACTTTTTTATGTTTTAATGTATCTAATTTAAGAACCAATTGAAATTTTAAGTTTTTATCTATATTTTTTTTCACCTGATAAAATTATTAACAAATTAAGGCAAAACAAACTCTGGAAATAAATAAAAGTAAATATAATTAACAAACAAATGTTGGGCTTAAATATTTTACTGTAAATATAAGTTATAGATTTAGGTTATTAATACAAACTAGGAAATTATTTCCTTCAAAAAAGTTCAAAATATTATATGAAAAATAAAACACATTTACATAAATGTTTGACCCTTCATGTGTTTGAACAAATGTATAGTCAGTCTTTTTTTTTTAAATTAAATACGAAATATAAATAATTTAAAGTGCTAGTGCAATTGATAAATTGAAAAATTGTATAGCCATTTGTAACTTCAAGGTTATAATAATGAAATTAAATATTTAAAAATAAATCTTATTTATAATACAATAAAAATTATTGGTTACTATATATTTTTTTTTTTTGTTTTACAGGGAACTATTATGATTCATATAATAAGTCTTGATTCTATACTCAAATACAAGTTGTAATACTAGTTGATTTTCTTATAAATTAATAATCATAATGTCATTACACAAACCATACAGATATTAAAATATATGTGACAAATTGATTAAAAAGAAAATGCAATTTTTAATGACTAAAGACGCCGAGGTAATTTATGTCATACACAATAAAATCAACAAACGTATTAAAGGACTTAAAGGAGTTAAAAATTATAAATATATAGTACAATAACCACATACACCATGTTATATAGTGTAACTATAATGATAAACTTCTTACTGCGGCATATCTTCAACTAACATGCCAGGTTCAGAAGATGTAGTATTTACATTTGTTTTCATTTGTGTGTAACTGAAATTATGAATGCGTAATATAAGATCTTCACTCAAAATATCTCTAGAAGTTTCAGACTCCAAGAGCGTTTTCACAATTTGTTGTTTTAAAGTTTTTACATTAATATAGTCGTCACTGTGATGTGGTTTTAACACAAGATCCATTATTACTGAAATCAAAACATATTGATAACAATTTAAAAATATACTAACTATTAAGAATTATCAAAAATAAAATTACATGGAAAATTGTTAATTTCTTCTTGGCCCCAAGGTTGTTCAGATAGTTTTAGTAACATTTCATATCCAGCTTCTTGTATGTCTAAAAATGGTAAACTGCATGATTTATAGATAATATTTTTGAATGGGTCATTAGTTAACTGTTTGTACCACTTCTTGGTACGTGCAATCATATCATTTCTTGAACAAATTTCTTCATTCTAAACAATAAGTATGATATAAATAAAAATGTAGAGTATACATAAGAATATTAAAAAAATATTAATTAAATTTATATTACTTCTATTTGAATAATTTTAACGATTGCTTTAATAGCACTTGCTTTGCATTCGGTTTTGGTACCAGAAACAATATTATTTAATTTCTCTATAAATAAACTCCAAATGTCTAGTTCGCCTTTACCTGTGTATTACAGATTAAGAAACAATAACTTTTCATTTGTTTTATTATTAGGAAAAATTGATATATAGTTAAATTAACAATTATGTTTGAATATTAATTCTTATTATATTAAACACAATAATATCTAGTTTTATTTACATAAGCACAATTTACCTTGATATTGATCAATCATAAGTTTTGGTGCAGGAATATCCAAAGACAGTTTGCATTCCCATGAAGATGCCAATACCTTAATTGAATTTGTGGCAACATTTACAAGTAAACCATCATTTTCATTCATGATTTCGTAAATTACAGTAAAAACTTTAGGATATGATATATAAATTAGTTGCGGTTTAATCAGAGCAATTTGTATGAAGAATTCCAAAATTACTAAACAAATGACATAGTAATTATGTAATTATAATTATATACTTATTAACATTTAAAATAAACGCAAAATGATTTTAGTGGTACATACTGGGATTGAGTATAGCAGTTGAAAGATTATTCAATTCTTCTGGTGATGAGCTCAATAAACGATACAATCCCCGTATAATGCCGACAGAATTCAAATAATCAAAACCATGATCTGTGATGCCCAAAGAAACTAACAGTTGTATTGTTACCATCTGCATCATAATATCTGGATTTGTAATATCAGGGATTAAGGAAGAAAATAGACCTTTGGAACTAATCAATGCTAAAGCATCTACTGACATGGACCAATCAACTAATATCTGAAAAAATATAAATATATTTTAGGAAATTACAATAATATTTTTTATTAACAATTAATTTCAACTTACTTTAACTAATATCCATAATAATTAACATTTTGTAAACAACAATATAAATAAATAACTCACATCATAGATACGTGCACGTATTTCTGAATTTGTCTGCATCAAAGTCCGTATTTTAGATAATATTTGAGGAGATGAAAGAATTTCATCACATTTTAACTGCTTGAGACACTTGACTGCCCTAAACGATACTGATACATCACTGTTTGATAAACAATCAACTAGAGTACAAATCAAGATCAGTGGTAAATCAATATTATTATCATTCATTAACAGTTTTTCCAGCTAAATAAAAGTAAACATTTCCAAATTAATTACCACAGTTATATAAAATTGCCAAGAATAATAAATATCATTTAATATATAAAAAAAAAATATTTACCTCTGCTAAAACTGTAGATTTTACAATGTTATCTGGATGATGTAATGAACGTTCAATACTGAGTGAGTACTTATTAAAAACTTGATTTGACGATAAAACCGAAAAAAGTTTTTTAAACATTAAACAACAGTTTTCTATTTGTTCTCTAAAATTAAACCAAGTACATTTAATTGTACCTATATATATAGGTATTACACGGCTTCTTTGTATACTCACTTGTTTGTAGTATTTAAGCAATCAAATATCAGATTTAAATTTATGAGGTTGGCTGATTGATGCAAATCAGAGCGATTCAATTGGTTCAGATAAATGTTACAACTCGACAATACGTCTACTATATCGCTGTTACCAATTGTTAGCTTATGCATTGCTAATGCAATCAAATCTGCATCAACTGAAAAACAAATAATAATTATAATATAACAATAATTTGTTAATAAGATTTCCATTGTAATAATAATAATATAAATTGATAGGTAAAAAAACATAGATTAATAAATTGTAGTCTTAAAATTTAGGAATTATAATAATGTATTAATTAAAGATGAAAATGTATTCACATATTATTTTTTTAGATTTTCCTGAGTTAAAGCTTAAAAATTAAGAATCAATTCTTTGAAAATATTACGTTGGTATTTGAAAAAACCTCATATGTGCAATATCAGCTAATACACAATATTAGCTGACGCCAAAACTCAAAACTAGTGTACATGAATATTTAACAAATTTTAACATAGTTACATATAAAGATTTTTGATTTTGAAAATATCCATATAAATTATTGACTGAATAGGGATATGTTTTTGTAATGTTTTATTTTTGAAGAGCAGATCATGAATATTTTGATTTTGTTTTTATCACATGAAAAACCCCATCCAAATAAAGTTAAATAAAATTTATAATTTATAATCTATAATTTTTAACTTTTCAAGACAACAAAAAAAAATATATAGGAAATTTCAAAATTATAAAGGCCATTTTTATAAAATACAAGTCATTTGAGTTGTTTTTCTATAACTGTCCGAGGCATAAGACACTAAGTTAAAATAAAGAACGTCTAAGAACCCAACTTATGTATATGAAGATATATTTACAATGAAATATCAAATTCTTTATAAATCAGTAAGGAATAATTAAAAATATTAAACACTTTCTTTTAAGTACTACCTACTTTCCATTCCTCAAGCCTATTGTAAACTTATTCCAGATTTTCTCCTATCAAGTTAATTCATAAGCAAACATCATGCACCACCATGGTACCTCCTCTCACCTGTTACCGTCCCTGTGCACTTCCGAGATAGAACAATTCACCAGATTAATGTTTGGAACTCTTCATACTGTTTGACATAATTTCACACTGACTTACAACTGACACAACCATATTTGTCACCTCTGTGTATTATTGAATAGGTAAAAGTCTAGTTTAATGTAAACCCTTTGTTTTTCAGTTTGTTTTTTATACATAATATATATATATATATATTATGTGTTTTTCGGTGCTGATTTCAGAACTGTTAGAATTTTTTTGCGGAAATCATTATTAAATAAGTAACTAAAGTTTTAAGTTTATTGTTACTAAGGTTTTTGTTTAAATACCTAGTCATTTTCTATGAATTTAATTACATTTGACCGGTGCGGTAGGTTTTTGTAGAAAAACACGCGTCTAATCTCCGTATGTGATTTAAACATTTGGATTTTACCCCGATGCTCACCACAATCGATTTTTTTTCCGCCATTACTTATACGACGTGGTATTGCACAACAAATTGAGGGTTATTTTCGTTTAAAACGGTCCCAGCGAGCGCAACGATCGAGCGACCCCGATTGTCTCTAAGTGCGCCATTAATGCTAATACGCGTTACTTCCATAACTTCTTTCATAAGGATTTCTAGAAAAAATTTCAAATAGGTCCGAAATCAGCGTCAATAAACACACGTATTTTAAAAAATGGAAAACAAAGGGTATCTGGTAAACTCGACTTGTACCCAATAATAATATGCAACGAAATAAATAATCTACTTAACTTGTAGACGATTTATTTTAACAAATTTAAAACTTAGGAGTAAGTATAATACATACCGTTATCGCCGACAGACATGTTCAAAGACATCTTATACAATATACTCGATAGAGATGCTTGAAAGTTGGTGCGTTTGTTTTTAAAGAATATAAGTTTGACTTTGAACAACAATGAGAATAATATTGAAATTGAATAATCTCAATAAAAAGCAATTGTCTGTTAAAACTATCTTCTTGTATCAACGTTTGTGCTTTGTTTATATTTATTATTTTACAATTTTTGCAAAATCATTTTAAAAATGGTAGATAGTACTACTTACCAACGTAATAATATGCGCGGACTATAGCAGTGTTCACACTTATTACGTTATCACGGACGCACCGCGATATACCACGGTCATAGACGGAACGTTTTTATCTATACCCATTTGAGATAATACTGTGATAACCATTCGTGGTGGATACATAGATAATGTATTAATAATTATTTATTATCTATGGATGGATATCACGATTAACGAGACACCTAGCTAAAATATAATGTCTTAAATCGTGATGGGTACTGTTCAAGGTTTACAGATAATATTATCCATAAACCTTGGGTACTCTTCACGTCTTCACCATATACAGAAGATGGTAAATAAATATTAATAATTATACTACTCCGTTGTAGCAACAAGTGCAGATAATAAACTAGATTGCTAGGTTCTCTATTACACTAACCGTATGGAGTTTGAAGCCACGTACCCGCAATTAATAGTAATAATTTCGATAACACAATTTATCACAGATATACTTGGATAAAATTTAAAAATGTAAACAATGTCTTTTTTCATAAAAGTAACAAATACATTTTATTATTTGAAATTTGTTTGGTCATTTACTGTCAAAAACCTTAAATAACGTGCAAATTCTGAGTTATAATTCAAATTTGTTACTTTTTTATTTTAATATTGAATAAATACATTTAGTACGTACAATTTTTATCAAGTACACAACTACAACTGTACATTTCCTACGTTTTTTCCTGGATTTTCCATTTTATTATGAAAACTGTTTTTGTAAAATCAAAAAATTGACATCCGTAAAGTATGCGCCACGCCAGGAAAATTATCTTTCAGAAAAGGTGTTACACTTGAGAATTGGAGCAAAATCTCTGTAGAAAAGTTGTTCACGGAAAAAGAAAAACATCATTGTAAAATCATTAAATACATTCCTCGTCCGCTCAGAATCTTAAATACATAAACACGTACACCAAAAATATCATCGTACATGCGACCTTTGAAAAAATAACATTGTGTATCTCCGTAGCGTGTAGGTAACTTGCCTACTCGATAATATTGTACTTATAACAAACCTGTATAGTAAACTGGATTTCCTTTTAATTTTATCGGAGTCTCGACTATTGGGCGACTATTAAATCTTCATACAACACACTCGCCGTATTGAAATATAAGGTAAATGGGTGCAGTAACGGGCACCCAGTGAAGGGGGGGGGTTCGATATGGGGCATCTGCCACCCTTGAACTTCAACATTTCAAATACGATTGTAATAATTAGATAATTTTGTTATAATTTGTTGGTGTTTGATTTTATTACGTCCCGAGATTCCTATGGCGGTGTGGTCATTAAAGGGCCCGGTCAGGTTCTAATTTAGGGTTAGTTATTTATACATAGACAAAATAAAAGGTCATTGAAACTTTACCAAGGCACTGCCCCTCTCTGATGAATTTCCCGTGAGCACCCATGACTGCAGTGAATGGCATACGATAGGATTTTTCAATGGGAGGGGGGGGGGATGCTTGAAAATGCATAATTAATCAGTTGTTTTGTCACGAGTTTGTATCATCAATTTTATCATCTATAGTTAAAATAAAATGTATAATCAATGTTGTAAAATAATTATAATAATTTATAGCCATTAAGTATTAGATTAAGTTGTTAGTATTAACCGGATTAAGATAACACATTTACACACGCGCACACACACACATAGGTCTCCGGTTATAAGGAGGCCGGCCACTTGTAATCACCCCCAGTGCGTGTATTGTTCCCGTTGCATTTGGACAGATGATCACAAACGAGTGTAAAGACTACGCAGAGATTCTTACAAAAGCACGGGAACCTAGAACAGTGTTTTATGATTAAAAAATTAATAAAAAAAACAATTGGTTCATTAAAATCCTTTTATTTACTTCGGTCACCTTTATCAGATTCAACAAATCGATTGCCGCCTGAAGAAGAAAGGTAATCGAATTTATAATTAACTTACACATGTGAATCTATTTTATATAGTCAGACTGACCCGTATTTCTGATAACAACAAAGTGGCGCCCAACTAAAAAGCTCGTACCACACCTCCGAAAAAATATATCGGACATGATGTTAGCTTAAACCTTTTATAAAAATTATCAACCAACTAATAGAAATGGATCCCACCAACCCAATTTTTGCTCCGGTAGCAGAAACCGTATCGAATTTCTGATTACAACAGCTTGACGACGACGACGGCGGAGACTCTCGACGAGGCGAAAGAACCATTCGTAATTTACGAACTTTATCCGCGGCGTTCACAACGCGCGGTCCGCTGTACGGCACGAAACGTGCATTCGGAATGTTCCGGCGATAACGTATACCGCCGTCGGGGGTACTATCAACGTTATCGCATCAATTGAAATCCGAAAACCGTCCCGCGCAGCTCGTGCGCCGGTTCCGCACTTGGCGCGAAAACCGAGTGCCGCGTTCTGCGATTGGAACGCACAAAGCTGGGCCGTCGCGATAACAATTTCGGGGGGGGTGAGGGGCGGGTGAACGCGTTATGTACACCCGGCGCGCACCGAGCGCAATATTTCCGATAGATGGCGAACTACGACATTAATAGCCGCGTGCGACTTGGCGACCGCGGTTTTGTTTACAACCGCGGCCAGATAATGTAAGGCCACATGTCATTTCGACGATTCTCGATTTCGAGGTGTTTTTTTTTTTTTCCCCGTCGCCAATATTAGTAAACAAATACCCGTTGAATACATTTCAGAACCAACGTTACTATTATTATTAATAATGTTTATTTATTTAAGCGATTATTATTCAGTTGCTGATAATAGAAGTTTTTCGTATGGAACACCGTTCGAAATTGCGTTTCGTTAGCGACGGACATCATTGCTTACTGCAGACATTGAATAAATCCGTGCTCGGACTTTTAAAGTAAAAATAAATAGATTTATAGGCCATTTTTTTAAATTGAAATTTATTTCACCGTCAGCGGCGCAACCAGTGTGAAACATTTCACGTGGAATTGATAAATCCCACGTGAAATGTTAAGATTAGAGCATATTTTTGGCCGAGACGTGGATATTTGACAAATTGTAACTTGGGAATTTTTTGATTTTAAGTACGTCCATAATTTTTAGAAATTCGGGGCTGTTTTAGTAATGTTTCATTTTTCAAGCGCATCTCATGAATGTTTTGATTTTGTTTTTATCACATTTGAATAGAGTTAAATTAGATCATTTTTATCTACACAGTACAACAAAACCAAAATATATAGAACATTTAAAAATTAAATAGGTGGTTTTAATCAAATACAGGAAAGTTAGGTTGTCTTTCTAAAACTGTCCAGGATACAGGACACTGAACTTAAATAAATAATAACTCTTCAAATTATAGAACGTATAAACATCCGACATATGTAGATGGAAGAAATATTTATAGTAAAATAATAACAAATCATTTATGAATCTTTAAAGATCTTTAACAATGAAATTGAATGCAAATCGGTTTATGTACCTATTATTGAATATGGAGTTTTCAATTTTTGTACAAACTAAATTTTCAATAAAAGTGCCAAGATTTTAAAGTACCCATATTGATTATATTTTTGTGAAACTATAATTTATATTATGTTTGTGGAATGAAAATAAAAAAAAATAAACGAAAGTTAAGCACACATTGAAAAATGCAAACTGACTGGGATAATAGCATTATTATTTATCATCAATATTGGAATTAATTAATCTAACTTCATAGTAGAACTACCTAAGTAGTAAATATAAATAATTTAGTTAACCTATTTTTTTTTAGATATTATCTTTTTAATAATTGTTATATCTTCATCGTAATACTTACTGTATATAATAAGAAAAAACCATAGGTTTTTTAAACAGTGATGCGCATCCAATGACATAATCAGAACATTAGAGTCCTGTCCGTTTTATACGATTACTGTGATATTTGAGTGACTATACCATAAAATAGATTGTTCTGAGACCATAATATCTATAATTTTTAATCCTCATAATTATATGATTGTTATCTATCGTTACCATGACAGTGTTACAAGATAAATTCATAAAGCTATCAAGTTATCAACAGAAATCTAATGTTTCACTGTTTCGGTAAATACAATTAAGACTTGAACATGCCATATCAAAAAAAAGATTGAATAGCAGTTGAAATTTTTTTCAATAAAAATATTTTGAACAAAAGAACCAGATAGATAATAATTAAATAATCCAACATTAAGCGCTAGAAATCAAACAATCAAATAATAGACGACTTAAAGGGCGGAAAAAGAATCTACGTCTTTTTTGACTAAACATATAATAATTTATTATAGATCTAATAATTTTTACCGTTAACCTAATATTTTTTATATTTTTAATTTAAATGTCCTATTTTTTTTTTTTTTTTTAGTATAAATATATAATATTCTTATCATATTAATATTTTATTGAATATTATCTATTACTACTTATTTGAATTTGTAATTTGAAAAACAACTTCCTATTAATATAATTAATGTGAAAGTTTGTTATCCTTTTAAGCTAAAACATTGCATGTATGTAATTCTTGAGTATGAATAACATAATATATATATTTTTTCCTCAAATTCAACTGCTATAGGAATGGGCAAACATAAGGATATTGATATTGTGGGTTAACCTCGGTGATTCCGATAAAATAAAAACATCTAAAACAAACTAAACAGAAGAATAAATATTATTTATTTTTACAGCGCTAAATGGAATAAAAAGTAAGTCGAAACTACTAAATTTGTGGAAAATACGTTGTAACTTATGAGTTGACCGCAGTTAAAAATAAAAACATGTTGCCTTTAAAGTACTTTAAACCAAAAGGTTACTGACCTATTCCATTTCTTTGTGGAACATAAATCTATCTTTAAATAATCAAAATTCATCATAACCCCGTCGTTTTAACAAAAATGATGACGTAAGTTTTTTTTAATACTAATTATTATTTTTTAAATTTCATTCCCAATTTATCAGTGACCCAAGAGATTTGATGGATTTTGGATTATTAATCAACAGTGTTTTAAATGAATGAATAAAATGCAAACAAGTGGGCTATATTATGTATACAAGTAATATATATTTCTTAACATCATTCTCAAATTGACTGGCTTGATTATTTTAATGTTCTATTATAGAAGTATTATTAATTTCAGTATTAACAGGGTCAGATCCCAACAAACGTTTAATTGTTTTTTTAGAAGGCAAGGCAAATATTGTAGATAAGTACTGGTAAGCCGCTGGACTTTGCTTATAGATAGAATTCGCTAAAATTTTATCATCATCTGTGAATCTTTGTCCGCGAGGGGTTTTCTGTTGGTTACGCAACTGGGATTGTATAAATTTGTAGGTAACAGAATTAACTCTTTGGGCTAAAATTTCTAATCCATAATTTTTTTTGGCATTTTTAAATTTTTTTTTATAATTCAAAGATTTTATCTTTAGCCTTTGTTTTTGACGTTTTAGTTTTTTTATTTCATCATAAAGTTTCATTGATGTCGGTGTTAACTGTGATCTTCTAACAGAAACTCTGTTTAGAATGCCATCATATTTAGGTTGTTGTGATAGAGGTATATGAGTATTATTAGGAGATGTATCTAAACTTGAAGAAGTGTTATCATTACTGATAGTTGAAATACTTGCATTCCCTGGTTCAGCTTTCACTATAAAAATGAATAATATATATTAATATAACTTTCGTTTGAAAATTGTTATTCGTATAAGTAAACAAATTACCTGTTGTCAAACCGAATTTAAAAATAGGGGCTTGATCATAACTGGTGATTGGTATACTGAAATTCTGCGTTTTATTAGTAACTGTAAAAAGTAAACAATAATAATATAACATTATTTATACAATTTTTGTTTGAAAAATTACAATTGTATAGATCAACAAAGTACCTGTAGCTGAAACTAATTTTAAAATAGTAGTCCGATCACCTGAACTAGTAGTCGAAGTACTTAAATTCTGCGTTTTATCAGTCGCTATTAAAAGGAAGTAATTATATATAATATGAATTTATGTATTTAATAAGTTAAAATATAATTTGTATCCAATACCTGGTCGATTATGGCTTTTTAAATGTAGCGAACTAACTAAAAATTAAAATTAGAAATTTAACAGATATTACTTTCAGAAAAATATGCAACACATATATATATATATTTCGTTAGCATTACTTGGCAAGTGCAAAGTCGGTAAAGATCGATAATTCAATCGCTTTGTTCCTGGACTTAGACAAGATTCATCAAAATGTTTCCTGCATATTGCACATTTTTTGAGAACGTCGCCTTTTGACATGTTTTTCAAAATGGGATTACAAGTTCTTTCAACCCATAATTGAAAATCATCATCAATCTTGGGGAACGCGTGTTTTGTCGTATTTCTCGAACTATCGCATTCTAAAACGTAACATTTATTGGTAGGCATTTCACCAAGCGACCGGGTAAGATCAACGCGACGGTTACAACGGCTTGAGCTACAGCGACCGAGGAAAACGTAAAGCAAATTCAAACGTGCAACTTACACACCGGGTTACAACAACGGTCGTCGACGCAAACAAACCGACACGGATAGCGCATGACGCACCGCACGGCGCGTAGATAAAGGAAATTGTTTCGCCACGTTCGTGTTCCGCGTTGATAAAACGCCTATGGACGTCCGTGCCCGTAGATAATCACGTTCACTATCACCAACTACGAGATATTTATAAAACGCGAACACCCTGTCGTCGTTGATGCGCTTCGGGAGCGTTTCAATACACCGACGCACCGCTCGTGGTACGCGCGACGTCGACGACACGTTGAGCGCCGGCCAAACAAAAATGTCGAATAAACGCGATGGCGCGCGGAAAACTTGCCGACTCTTGCCCGAGACAAGTTGTGCACGCCATCTGTATGACGGTATTCAACGCTGAGGCCGCGCGGAACGTCACGCGTGCTGCGTTCGCGACGTTCGCCGCGCGAATCAAAAATAGCTGTCCGTCTTGAAAACGTAAATGGCCACACTGAATACGTCGCGACGCGCCGCCGGGCGTTTGATCTGCGGCTATATTTTCGAGCGATGCGTGTCGGACTCTCGTCTCCCGTATTGTCGCGACGCTATTTCTCACGGAGAGCCGGATTAAACCGACGACGGCGAATTTCTCAAACAGCAGTCGATCGTGCGCTTTAAACGTCAGTTTAACGGAAATAAATCGTATTTTATTAATTTTCGCGAGTGCTACGTTACGGTGTCCCGGGTAATGTCACTAGAGCGGCTGTAATAGCGTAGTGAACGTGGCGTACGTAGCGTAGCGTTCTGTGCGGCCTTTACACGGTCTGAGGGAATCGGTAACACACACACACACACACACACACGCACACACACATTGACTACGCGGGCATAACACCGGAACACGGAGACACGTTCTATTTTAACACGTCGACTGAAGCGAGTTAACGATAACGAAATATTACGGACAGTGCGGAATTATTTCCGGATATCCGCTGACGGGTATCGTAACTATTACGCTAAAACCCGATCAGCGTTCATCCGCGTATAATTCTGTCAGACTCGCGGTGTATTTCTCTTTTCGAATTGAATTCGCCTTGTGATCCGTCCGCCGTAAAACCTTTCCGAAAACAAATGTCCATCGGGTAGAAAACATCGTTCTTGAAAAATACGAATTTTCAAAACGCGATAATTGCACCGATCGTAGTTTCCTTTTGAAAACACCCGTTGATTGATCATTAAAATCCCGAGCGCGGCGCGTCGATCAGTAGGGAAATTGCACAGTTTAATATTAACACGAGAATATTCCGAGGTTTTTTTTCAACATAATAATATTTGCTAAAATCAATTTTTCATCCAATTTTTGCACGTGCGTACCATGAGCGGCGCGTTCCTGTATCCGAACCATAGACGTGTCGGACTAAACTCAACGGGTCCACGACTTGAGCGTCGTTCCTATGTATTTCTCAGGGCCGTTCTCGCCGGCGCGAAACGAAAACGCGTTTTCATCCGATTCTCAAACTGAATAGCGGTGGCTGATAGCCGACCACGACTGGTCGAATATCTTATACACTCGGTTTACAGACCCGCGTTTACGTTGGCGGGAACGTAGTCCGTAGTCGGGGCCACGCGGTACTCCGTCTTTACGGGCCGAGGGCGGTTGTCCCAAAATAATAAGAGCTGAACGCGGAGAACAGCAGCGTCACACATGCGGTGTGCGAGTTAAATTTATCCGACATTTTATGAAATTTTTTTTTTTTTTTTCGTAGTGTATATGAGTCACGGACTAGGGTATATTTATATATATATGTATTAGTTCGAGTTCCAGTGGTTTTAATTCCAATTATAACGTTTTGCTATTTTTTAAAAAGATATAGAACAAGAATTTGGAAAATATTGTAAGTGTTCGATGTTGATTTTAGAATAGATATACTCAAATTAACTTTCCCGCGATCTATTCACGCAACAAACGCGATTACTGTTGTAGTTGTATATTACTTATATAAGAGCACGGAGCAGTTTTTCAACAAGAAAATTCTAAAAATAAAAATTGAATTTGAATGGTAAGTACGGGAAGTTAGAACAGCACTCAGAAGCGCTATCGAAATAACGGATCAAATAAGTACTGAAATGTCCTCTATTTACGTACACACAATATGATAAGCGAGGAGTCCCGATATTATCTTCGTAGACCGTGGCCAGTATACTCTTACGTTGGTCACACAGATAGCAGCACAAAATATCGTATACGATTTATTTTTTTAACAGAAAATCGACGGGCATTTAAGGGTTAGCCAATAGGCAATTTTAATGGCTTTCAAAGAAATTACCACCCGTGAGCATCAGTGCACCGTCACTAGAGTCGAATTTCCCCCGCCCAGTGGCGTATTTAGGATTTTACCGAGGAGGGAGTTATTGGATTTTGAAATATTTAGTTTTTCAATTTGTGTAACGTGTACTTATACTAGATAAACAAAACAAAAATAAAAACCAATTTCAAATTTATTCATTTTTTACAAGTATTTTATAATTCAATCTTCCCTAACATAAACATTGACACATGATTTATTAATTATTATTATGTTTTTAGTTATAATATTCTAAGAATAAAAAAAAGAAGAACCTTCTTTCATTCAAACCTTCATTGAAGTTGTTCGGATAGGATTCGTTTTTTAATAAGTAATTTTACCTATAGTTAAGGATTTTTATTTTTGAATTATTAACCTACCAACGCATTTTTGATTTTTCTAATTAAAAATTAAAGAAATTCGAATTTGAGAAATAGTTATTCGTATAAATAATAACTACTAAAACAAATTTCAAGGCAGAGAGATACATCTCCCCGATCTCTCCTCTTAGTTACGCCACTAACCCCACCTATTTAGTATTATAGAAATATTCTTTGTAAAATAAAATATTACTATACTGTTTTCAACAAAAAACAAATGGTTAAATTTGAGCATAAAACCTCCAAAGACACAATCTCGGTTGGCACTACGATTAAAGATATTAAACTGGTTACACGAGGCGCGATAACGAGACCCCGAAGTGCCTTTTACTTTTAACTGATAAGAATTGTCTAACGACGCGCTCTATAGTAACTCTAAATTGAACTAACGCAGTGACGGCAAATAAATAATGTTAGTCACAAACCCTAAGATATCTTAGTCCGTTATGAGCGCTAGTTGTCTTTTATCAACAGTTTATCGACGACACTTGGGGAACAAAATTTTCTGTTTTATCATAGCTCCGTCGTTAAACCAGTCTGTATTTTACATTTAATCGTTGTAGGTATTATAGTATAACGCCATGCACCCATGCAATACAGAATTACACCACCCTGATGGCTTCATTTGGAAGATCGGCAGGGGTACTTAAAGCTATACAAAATACCTTCCTCCACACGGAGAATTTTATATTGAAATTTAATTCAACTTTTTTCACACAACAGTTCAATACACCTATAAAATAACTCAATCCCCGAGTTTTTAAGCTCATCTAATCCAGAGCCATAAAGTATGTTGAAAATTATATATGTATATTGTATGCAGGATATTTCGTAACAGTTGTGTTACGCTAAGCATACCATACTCGGCGAGGTGGCCGTATATTACAAAAACGACTTTTTTTTGGAAAATTTTTTCGATCTTCTAAACCTCGATTTTTTTTAAATTTACTCAAAAAATATTTGCATTGGTAGAAAAATAAATATTACGATATTTCCTACGAAATCCGCCCTGTTGAGTATAATTGTGGAGCGTAACGCTAAAATTTTGTTTGCGTATGAAATAAAAAACGGGTGGTTATTTTTATTAAGTGCACGCGCTCTCAAAATTCGTCGGTGCGCCACTGTTTCGTTGTAATTTAAAATTAAGTAGATTTAGGTTTATACCATACATAGGTATATATGTATTTTTATTTTTTATTTATATCCAATACATTTTCATGAAAATATGAAATAATTCGTATAGTTTGAGTATTGATTAAATAAACATAGTGCATAATAAATATTTCTCGTAGAGAAATTTTTTTATAGACAATAAAAAATAAAACGCATCACAGTTAAACCAATACATTCCCCGTTGAGCTCTGATCTCAGAATCTTTTTATCTTTAGATAAATCTTATCTAGAATAAAAATGATCTGTCAAATAATGAAGTACAAAATTGTCTTGTTGCATTATTAAGTAGATAACAATTAATACTTACCTATATACGTGTAAAAATATTTTTCAAAATATGTAATATTCTTTAACCGTTAGATACGCCACTGCACGTGGTAATAAAGTGTCAAAGTAAATGTAATTTTAAAATAGGTCAATTATGATAGATATCATTTTCGTATTTGATATAAGTTTTATCGGTGTAAGTAGAGTAGGTAGGTACATAAAAATAAAACACATGCTAAATGAAACTTTTAGATTAGTTTTTTTTGTGAACTTTCGGAATGTTCGAAACTTGTACCAACCCCCATTTCTTTTCAAACGTGTAAACATTATTTTAGTACGGGTAGGTACGCCTAACCACAGCTGTAAATCGGTCAAATACAAACGGTAAATAACACAACATACTTACCAAAGTTTAATTATTTTGTACGATCAAGATAGAAATTAATACCTGCACACCATTTCAATAAGTGTAGCAAAAAAATGTCTATAGTTATAGAAAGACATTCGTCTTCATATGGACAAATGAGTTTACCCGGGAAACAGGGGCGTATTTAGAAATTAATAATGGGGAGAGGGCACGAAAAATAAACCAAATATTTAATCATATAAATAAATTTAAAAAAACCAATAAATAATCACAGTTTAAAAATGTGACGTTCTTATATAGATAGACATTTAAGAGTGTGACGAACAGCGGTTTTGTAATAAATCGTGCGGTTTTGGGGAGGGAGGGGGGTTCGTTTTTAAAAATTTTCCGGCTTGACAAAAATAACCTATATCCGCCCGTGCATCACTCGTAATTTCCCGGAGAGAACTCGTTAAAAAATCGTCTGCGTCACGGGTAAGTACGCGTACATCAGGCATATTAATGTAATATTATAATTATTCGTAGATGACCTACACAGTAGTTAGTGCCTACTGTCTATAAATAATACCGAATTCGGGCAAATATTTTTCATGTTAAAAAAGTCAAAATTGAACCGTCACACCGAAAAAGTACGATTCAGTCACCTTTTTTGATAACACGGTTGAGCAAACAAAATTGTTTTTCTTGTACTCGAAGTGTATTCGAAAAGTACCGAGACTGATTTCTCTATAAAACAAAAAAAAAAAACCAAACAAATTAGTGCAAAAATGCTCATTTAGTTTTAGTTTTCAACGTGATATAGTCCCCTCCTCTTTCTCCCAAGTGATTCGTTGTTAAGTGACCACTATATCG